GAGACAACATGACATTTTGACAACATCACAGGAGGAAGGCAGTTATGACTTATTTTTGAAGAACTGAAGGGGTCACCAGGTCACCAGGTCACCAGGTCATTTCACTTCTCTGAAAAAATGAGACAACATGACATTTTGACAACATTTACGAAAATTTGATGTAGTCCAAAAATAAAGTTAGTTTTAAAATTATTTTTATTTTTTTATTTGTATGTAAGAACAGAAATGTCAGTCGAAGCAAAAACATTCACGAACAAATCTAATGGCGAAACATTCACAAAAGGCACTTATAATGGTATTGAAGTCTTACGTAGAGACAAGGATGGTTACATTAATGCAACAAATATGTGTCAGCAGTTTAGGAAAGACTTTAGAAAGTTGTTGGAAAATAAGTCCTGGGAAGAGTATTATAAGGCATTTTGTGAAGAATATAGCAACCGTCTGAATTCCGGCGGTTGCTTTTTATACAAAATTCATGCAGGAATTCCTGATGAAATCAAACAGGTTAGAGGAACGTATGTAGACCCAAGACTTATAAACTATATAGCAATGTGGACTTCTCCAAAATATTGCATAGCAGTTGGAAAAATTATGGACTCCATAGACAAGAAAGTTCATGAGAAATTAGATGAAGAAGAACTCGAAGATACAGTTGAAAATGCTAAACCTTTGTTCGAACAAGAAGTTAGAAAAATGCATGAAAAACAATTAGAACATGAACGTGAGATATGTTATGGTTATCGAGATTCTTCATACGAACTAGACCAATGGGAACAAGAAGATTTAAAGAGAGAATTTAGAGAATATGAACTCGCTAAGATAGCATTAGAAACTGCAGAAAAGAAGTTAAAAGTTTGGGGTCGTTTTGTACAAAATATTGTGAGTAAATGAACCATTTATTTTTGTCATTAACGACCAAAAATATATTTTATCGTTAATGTTTTTAGGTTATTCAATAATTAATTATTTTTGAAGAACTGAAGGGGTCACCAGGTCACCAGGTCACCAGGTCATTTCACTTCTCTGAAAAAATGAGACAACATGACATTTTGACAACATCACAGGAGGAAGGCAGTTATGACTTATTTTTGAAGAACTGAAGGGGTCACCAGGTCACCAGGTCACCAGGTCATTTCACTTCTCTGAAAAAATGAGACAACATGACATTTTGACAACATTTACGAAAATTTGATGTAGTCCAAAAATAAAGTTAGTTTTAAAATTATTTTTATTTTTTTATTCCTATATAAATGACAGCAACAAACAACAACAACAACAACTATATCGTTTCTGATGAAAAAGTTATTGATTCATTAGTTGCGGAATTAGTTGTGGCAGAAACTAAAACCCTCAACGAAAGAATTGGTGAAAACATGATTGATTTACATAACTACCTCAAACATGATGGAGGAAGAGGAAGGAAAACTGGTACAGCTTTATTAGTAAATAAAATTTCAAATTTAACGATTATAGATGTTGATATCAATAAATCGTACAATGATGAACTTAAAGAAACAGTTAGAAAAGACATTTTATCAAAACTTTCGGATAAAGATGTTATCGTTAAAACCGCATCAGGAGGTCTTCACATTTATTGCAACACTAATTTCTTCTATGCAGTTTCGAACAGAATGATTAAATGTTATTCCTGCAATGATTATGATATTGACATAATGACTTCTATTGATGATTCAAAACGTTCTTTAGTAGTCATGGCTGATTCAAGAGTTCGCAAGAATGCATCAGAACCAATCACTACATACTCATTCATTCGTGGAAGTTATGATTCAACATTAACCAGAACAGTGAATGATATATTAAATGATTTGAATATTAAGGTAAGAGTTGAACAGAAGAGCGAAGAAATAAAGAGTATAATGAATGAAAACAAAGATGTAAACATTGACGATAAACTAGCTCAGAGCATAGTTGATGGCATCTGTGATTTTGAAGTACATAATGATGGGGAAACATGAATTTAGAAAAAGAAATAACATTATTCACACTGTTTCAAGCTATTAATTCGTTACCGATCATTTAATTAATGAAGCATACGATAACGTTTATAATTTCTGCAGTTTAACTGAAAATGCAAAAAGTAATTTTGAAAAAGCACGTAGTAGATATGCACATTTAATGACTTCTCCATTTGTTTTGGTGAAGATTCTAAAACTTTATCAAAAGGAATATTATGATGAATATGTTTTACCTTTATTACGTAAGCCAAAAATAACATTTGATATAAAACTTGATGACTCGTTTTTGATAACAGATATTAGACGCAAGTCTGAAAATCATCAGTATAAAAACAGTTCTGAAGTAATTGAGGATTTATCACGTGTCATCCGTTTTGTAGATTGTGGAAACAAATACTTCATTCAAAAGGACTCTAATATTCATGACAAAATGAATCAAATATCATTTGTTCTTCAGTCAAACATGAAAGAGTCACTTAAAATGATTAAATTATTTAAAGAAGAAGGTAAAACAATAACAGCATGGGATGTACTACTAAATCAATTATCTCATTAACCGTTAAGGGTGTTTGCTTTAAATCTGATTCCCCGATGTTTTCTCAACGTTTCAGGGTTATAAATACAACATTCTCGAAAAGTAGATTACTCAAAAATTGAGATGTTTATGAATTTCATTAAAGAAGCCATTTGTGATAATAACGATGAAGTGTATAAATACCTTCTCGGCTGGATTGCATCAATGATTCAACATCCTGGAATCAAGAATGAAACAGCAATTATTTTGAAAGGACTTCAGGGAACAGGTAAAAACAGATTTACAGACATTATTTCTGAACTTCTCGCTGGTTATTCATGTAAAAACATTACTGAAATAAGTGAGCTAACGGGTAATTTCAACTCAGTAGTTGAGAATAAAATGTTTCTTGTACTTAATGAACTCAAGAATGTAGGTGAAGACAGACTGCAAACTTCAACGCTTTGAAATCAATTATTACGGATAATGAGATTAGAATTAATGAAAAGAATCAACCCAGAAGAACTGCTCAGAATGTTGCAAACTTCATTTTCGTAACTAACAACGTTTACCCTGTCAAAATTGAAGTTGGAGACAGAAGATACGTAGTTTTAAGAGTTAATGGTAAATTCAAGGGTCAATTTGATTACTTCAAGAATTTAATGGATTCATGCACAAAGGAATTTTATGATAACCTTTTAACATATTTTATCAATTACGACCTTTCATCATTTAATGTACGAATCATTCCGATGACTGAAGCCAAACAAGATTTAATCGAGTTATCAACAAATCCTTTAGATGTATGGATAAATACACATTATGATGAATTATGTGCAGGTATGACGTGTGAAAATGCTCTATTCTGCAAACCATCAGACATGAAAGACAAAAACTTTCAAATGAGCATTAAGGATAAATGTGAAAGGAAACAAAGAAAAATAGATGGTAAACAAACATGGTATTATGTTTTGAAAGAAGAAATGAAAGGATTATATAAACAAATTGAACCAAACGATAATGAGGAATCATTTACTGACGATGAAATACCTGTGAATGAAGCTTTATAAAGTATGATTTGAATTTATTTTTGCATTAATCCTGTGATGTTGTCAAAATGTCATGTTGTCTCATTTTTTCAGAGAAGTGAAATGACCTGGTGACCTGGTGACCCCTTCAGTTCTTCAAAAATAATTAATTATTGAATAACCCATGATGTTGTCAAAATGTCATGTTGTCTCATTTTTTCAGAGAAGTGAAATGACCTGGTGACCTGGTGACCCCTTCAGTTCTTCAAAAATAATTAATTATTGAATAACCCATGATGTTGTCAAAATGTCATGTTGTCTCATTTTTTCAGAGAAGTGAAATGACCTGGTGACCTGGTGACCCCTTCAGTTCTTCAAAAATAATTAATTATTGAATAACCCATGATGTTGTCAAAATGTCATGTTGTCTCATTTTTTCAGAGAAGTGAAATGACCTGGTGACCTGGTGACCCCTTCAGTTCTTCAAAAATAATTAATTATTGAATAACCCATGATGTTGTCAAAATGTCATGTTGTCTCATTTTTTCAGAGAAGTTGAAATGACCTGGTGACCTGGTGACCCCTTCAGTTCTTCAAAAATAATTAATTATTGAATAACCCATGATGTTGTCAAAATGTCATGTTGTCTCATTTTTTCAGAGAAGTTGAAATGACCTGGTGACCTGGTGACCCCTTCAGTTCTTCAAAAATAATTAATTATTGAATAACCCATGATGTTGTCAAAATGTCATGTTGTCTCATTTTTTCAGAGAAGTGAAATGACCTGGTGACCTGGTGACCTGGTGACCCCTTCAGTTCTTCAAAAATAATTAATTATTGAATAACCCATGATGTTGTCAAAATGTCATGTTGTCTCATTTTTTCAGAGAAGTGAAATGACCTGGTGACCTGGTGACCCCTTCAGTTCTTCAAAAATAATTAATTATTGAATAACCCATGATGTTGTCAAAATGTCATGTTGTCACAAACTTTAGAACGGCATAATTTAAATTTTTATTTTATCATAAATGAATACCCCACAAGCTCAAAATTTACCACGAATCATAACAAGGGAGGAAATGATAAAAATGATGCAAGAACATGTTAAAAATAACAAACCACTAAAATTGAGAAAATGCGGTTATGCAGTAATGATGGAAAGAGAGATGTTGTCAAAGAGGAATAAAAATTAAATTTGGATAGAGTTTAAAAATTCATCTTTATTAAATTCATCTCTTCCAACCAATTTATTTATTCTATTAAATTCTTTTATTTTTGCTTCACTCAGTTTAATGATTGAACGGTAAGTTTCTAATTTTTCGATTATTTCTTTCCTCTCTTTATCGTTTTCAACCCCACCGCATTGCGACTTCATTTTGTAATAGCATATTTTTGATTTAATTCTGTTTAGTTTCTTTTTATATTCATTGTCTGGACTCTTGACTGCTTTGTTGTCACTCATTTCTTACGAAATAAAAAAAATTAAATATTATTTAAATATAATGGAGTAATAAAATAAATCGGAATTTCTATTAATTTCTTGTCAACTTCAACTAATGCATTGCCGTTAATATATCTAACAAATTCAGCTATTGTGTCAAATCTTCGTCTTCTTTTTGTCATTGATTTATCAGTTTTTCCATAATCGAGATGAATCAAAACTTTATTTCCTTGTTTAAAATTCATGAGCCCCGAATTAATTTGTTCACGTTTAACATCATTTAACTTTTCCATTTGCTTTCTAATATATTCCCATTCTTTTGAAATATCATTTTTCATTTCCACCGGTTTCATGTTTATAGTTCTATGCCATGTATTATTGTAATAATATACTAACTGTTGTATGATGGAGTCATGATTTCCATCCCAGTATATCTGACCGTTAACCCCTAACGCATCTCTAAGAGTTCTCATTACCGCATCAACTATTTTATTATGAAACGTATATGGAGAGGATGAAAAGTAAAAATTAATTTGTGGGAAATAATGAGCCATAGCTGCCTGAAATCCTTTATCACCATCACCCCTGATATTATCTACTCTTTCATGATCTAGTAAGTATTGAATAGCTCTTCTTGTTTCCTGTTCTGTTTTCCCTTTCACTGGAATGCAATATAAATATCTAGTGTTAATGTTAATGGCAAATAAATAAGTAACGTTTCCTTTTGAATATTCCAGATGATCAATTTCGTATGAATATGGATATGGTGCAAATGAAGGTCGACTAAATTTTTCCTTTAATGGTTGAATTTTCGGGTCAATTGGTTTATTTAATATCTTGAAATCCTTTTTAAAATTTTTTTGCTTCTTAAATGTTTGAAATGGATATAATAAAGTGAATGATGAAGGATTAACTGAAGGAGGAGGAGGTACTACTGTTGGAGGTTTTGGTGTTGTAAGTGGTTTAATTTTATCTGCTTTGATTTTGGAATTCAATCCTCCCTTCATTAATTCTGGATGTATTCTATTCATTTGTTTTAAATATGCTGTATATAAAGGTTTGATATACTTTCCTGCTTCGAGTTTATGTTGAAGGATGAATTCCAAAAGTTGATCTTCATTTAAAAGTCGGGCTGAATATGGTTTAACTAATGAATCATAAATTAAAGCTTGTGCATCATTTATGGTCTGAAGGACCTGGGTGTTTTATTCCTTTGGTTTTTGTGGCTCAGGATTATATAATTTATATAATTCATCAATATCTTCTTCTGTTAATACTTTATTTTTGAAATCTTTCAACTGTTTAAGCTGTGATTTAGTTTTTCCCTTTGAATATTCATTATTTTTAATTTTGTCTTTAATTTCAGAAATTATTTTATTATGATATTTCAAAATTTCATTTTTATAATATGGATAATAATATTCCATATCATCACCCGTTATATTATTATATTTTTGGAGATATGCTTTTAAATCGTAATAACTAAGAAATTTTTGATTAAGTACTAAATCAGCAATTAAAATTTTTAAATCTGTGTTATCCATTTATATAAAAATAAAATCAATGTTTTAAGGGTGCCCACCTCTTTGAATCATAGTATCAAAACCATTTGGTTCCTTTTGTCTCTTCTGTGGTATTTTATTAAATAAATGGCATACAACATCCATTTTCACAACATACAGCCTTAGTGTGTGCTCCTGTTAATGCAGTCTTACCGATTGTTAAGCGAGTCATTGACCCGTTTTTAAGTTGTAAATTAATATTTTGACCATCAAATATCACTTTATCATTTATTATATCCAAATATTTTTTAGGTGTTAATTGCTTATTTTGTCTTAAACTAACACCCTTCATTTTTTGTGCAATCTTTTTAAAATCACTTCCATCAATTGAACCGTTGAATGATGTATAACATTTAGGGCATAAAGCAACCATGTTATCGCCTTGTTTCTCAATTGCTAAACCCAATAACTTCTTCTCATGTGCTTTTTCTTCAGCTTTATTCTTTAATTTAGGTTTAAATTTCTCATCAAAACAGAAGAAATCAAATGGTGCGAATTTGAAAATGTTTTTATCATAAAATTGTTTATCGGTAACAATTGCTTGAAATGCTTGAGTGTTAGGAAGACTTGGATCGCCAGCGATTGCCCAATAAGATGAATCAGTATCACCTTCAATGAAATGAAAACGATTAACATCCATGCATTTATACATAAAATCATAAATGAAAACAAATACCAGTATTTTGCGTTATCTAAAGTGAAGAATGCCTCTTGTAAACATGTATCACATCTATAAAATCTATCTTTAAGCATCACTTGATATGTATCCTCACCTATTTCTCTTATGTTTTTAAACTTATTTGACATACATGCAACGCGTGACTTCTGTGCATTCGTTATTTTAGTCTTTGCGTAATTTTGTGTATTCATTGCATCGTAACCATATGATCCATTAAGCGAAATCTTGCAAAATAAACTTTTTCCTTTATTTCCTTCTAATTCAGCCTTTTGTCTTTCGTTCATAAATTTGTTCGCAAATTCATTAAAATAAGTGTTTTTCGTAAATGTTAAAATTGATTGAATATCATCGATGATAAAATGAAATCTGTCTATTAGATACCAAAGATAATAAGAAGAAAATGGTTGATATTGGTTGTGTGTTGATGCTAACTGAGTTAATTTTCTCTGTTTCTGGTCAACTGGTAGATTGTTTGATTTCATGTAATTATACATAAAACTACCAATTGTTTTTTCATCTGTGATAATATCTAAGTTTCTTATTATCGGTAAAAAGTTTATGTAATCATTAATGTATTTTTCATCAATGTGACCCTTTACTTCAGCCACGAATAAAGTATTTTTCTTTCTAATAATTCCCAGTGCTTTTGCTTTCTTTGTTGCTGTATCACAAATGATAACACCATTCAATCTTCCCGGCATATACATTTTATGGTCAGTATATTGAATGAAATCATGAGGATTAGATGAAAATGATGAAGGATATAATGAATTAAAGTCAACTCCAACGAAATGAGTCATAATGTTGGTGGTGTCCTCATTTGATACAGTTTTAGTTTCTGGATTATATGAAAGTTTATTAATGTGCGTGATTCCTTTAAGATTTACTCTATGTTGAACATTTGATAGACCACCAGTAATTCCATTACGGAGAATGTGATAAGCTTCAACTGAATCTAAAGTCATTGGTAAATTATTTTTTAATGCATAATTTCTTAAATTGATTCTTAAACGTTGAACATCTTCATCTTTATTTGATTTTACGACATTGCAATAACAACACATTAACTGACAATTTTCTTTGGTATGTGGTTTTTCATTATCGATTCTATCCAATGTTGGTTTATTAGCATATGTAAACGCTTTACCACACATTTTGCATTTAGATGAAAGGATTAAATCGTGATAGTATTGAAAATCATCCATTGAAACATTGTTTTTAGTATCCCTTTCTGCTTTTTCATCTTGTTTCTTATATGATTCAATTTTATATTTCCAATACTTTTTCGTTAATTCAAAACTTGATTCTATCTCTTCCTCAGGATATTTTTCATTAGGATTAAAGTCTTTATATGCTAAAGCGTAACGAATCATTGATGCATTCGATGATAAAGAAAGATTATGAAGCATGTCAATTTTATAAACAAATGTTTCTTCAATAATTTTATCAATTGGGTCAATCATAATTTCAACATCTTTATTGCAATAATGAATAAAATATTCTAATCTATTCTTAAAGTTTTTAGCATCATTGAGATATATTTGATAATCACTATCTGATATAGTTTCTTGAGTTAATACTGAATAAAATGAATCTTTCGTGAATGGTTCCTCTTTATATAATTCTTCTTCGTAATTTTCCCACGTGATGAATTGAAAAGGGAAAAAGGATTTAACACGTGATTTATTGTTTCCGAAATCTTGAGTGAATTGGTCTAATGTCCCACCCGCTATATAATTTCTGATGTCAATAAATCTTAATTCATATGGAACGTTTGTTTTCTTTACAATGATTTGCTTAAATTGTGAAGATGAACCCAGCATTGATTTTATTTTCCATTTTGCAGTGTTTAAATCACGAAGAATTAAATTTAAATCAAACTTTCCCGAATTAAAACCTATGATATTCACTTTATTGAATTCCTCATCTAGAAGTTCTTTAAATGCTTCCTTCTGTTTTTCATTTAATGTATGAGACAAAGTCCCCGCCGTTTGGTCCGTTTGCGGCTTCATTAATTCATTGTATTGACTCATATTTGATTTAGCAACTAATGAACAGGTTGAAAATAAAAACTCAATCCAATCAGAAATAAAAGAATCACTCGAAGTTAAGCAAAAATTCCTCGTATATGTTTTATCATTTAATTTAACCGTTGATGATACCATGAATGGTTTTAAGTAAGCGTTCAAAGTTGCACACTCAGAAAGTTGAAGTTCTTCTTTAGTCTCTAATGTTTCGAAGTCAAAAGTAATATAATATCTTGTTGGTTGATAATATTCCTGCAAATTATGAGCTAATAACCACTGATATATCTTCTGTTTCGTAATATGTGGTGCATATGGTTGTTGTGTGTTTTGCAACTGAACGTCTTGAATTAATCTTCCATTATTTTCTTTACATTTCTCACAATGCTTTAAAAATCTTCTTTGGTTTTTCCTTTCTGGATCATCACGGATAGAATAAACTTCTTCTTTACAATATGGACAAACTCTATAGCCGGTGAGTGCTTCAACGTCTGTTATTCTGTCAGCGTGAAGTTTTCCACATGGACTCTGTGTTAATAAAATATTTACTGTTTCAAATTCTGGATCTATCATTATTGAATCCACTAATGGAAAGTCTACCTTGTTAATGTCTACGTCTTCTGGTTGAGGATCACAATAATAGAAATCAATATTAACATTTAACATTCTTGCTAACCTCTCACTTTCTGATGAAATGTCAAACCCTTCATATGAATCTATTGCTTCATTTAAATAACTTCTACGAGTTTTAGGATTAACACCATCAGGAATGTTATAGAAGCGTTTAAATAACCTTCTACCTTCTGCTCTAATTTGATTATCATTCATTTTAGCTGTTCCATTTTTGTTCATTTATGTAAGAATAAAAATTAAAAAATAAAGTTTATTTTTTAAAGCCCATAAAATGAATTAAGAACACATAAATTTTTATCATCTGCGACGTGACGAATACATTTTAATTTACTCAAGAATGCGTACCCTGATACATTAAATCTAATTCCTGTCTTATTTAATTTCACAACTTTGAAAAGGAATGTATGAATAGCTATAAAATGATGAGAAGATGTTTTATGGGTTGCTTCCATTTTTTCTGAAATAAATGAATAAATATAATGTTTATAAGTTTTCATATCTTTTATATTCTTAATAACGAATGGTATAGACCTTTCAACTTCGTCTTCCTTCGGTGCTGTTCTTTCATATGAAACATTATTGGTATCTTCAATAATGAAACCACAATCACACAAAATTTTATATGTTCCAATGGTTTCTTTTGATATTTTATCTAATAAATCAAAAACTTTATCAACACCCGTGCATTTATTTAAATAATAATTTGTGTAAATATCATGATCTTCTTTCTTAATCGTATTTGTTGCATATGTTACATTTTTCAGTGCTTTTTTGAATTTTTCAGAATCAAGAGGAGGTGAAAGTAATATACATGGATAATCTCCATCGTCAATAAACTGAAGCTTATGTTTATGAATAAATTTTGTGCCTTCTTCTGAAAGTGTTTCGTCAATATCACCATCTAATAAATTTTTAGTAGATTCCAAAAAGTAATTTTTATATCTTTCCTCATGTGATTTTTGAACTTCTGATTCTGAAGCTGGGATATTCATTAAACCCTCTACTTCATTCTCAGCATTTCTCAATTCACTAATTCTTTCATCTATTTCATTTCTTAATTGTTCCAATTTCTCAATCTCATCGTTATAATATTCATCATCTTTAATTCGTTCTTCATAATATTCAGGGAAAACATCAGGTTCTTTAGGTTTTTCTTCTTTTTTAGATGTGGGATATAAGAAATTTATAACATCATCTTTATTCATTTTTCCATCATAATCAAACTCATTTAAAAACTCCGCGAATTTTTGACAATTTCTTAAATAATATTTATCAACCTCATAACCCGCCTCCTCTAATATATCCTTTATTTCCCTGTTTGTGAATCCTAATTTTTTAACATCGTTAGTCTTGACACTCATTTCATACAAAATAAAAAAATAAAATAATAAACATAACTAAGTTTAACCCATTCAGGATTTAAACAATGTTTAATTAATCGCGGAATATCTGACATCATCTATATATAGCTTCTTTTAAAATTAATGTTAATTTTTTTAATGGTTTATTTCATTATGTATGGGCTGAGTGTAAATGTCTTACAATTTTGAAAATTTTTTAAATCTTGATTTATTCAAAAACGTAAGAATAAAAACCGTAAGAATCATACATTTTTTACTTCATATGTTAAAAAAAATGATACAAAATCGTTCAATATTGTATGAATTCTTACGTTTACAAAAAAAGTCACACAACCCTTCCACATATACTACTAACGATCGTGAAGCAATTTTATTGAAAAATTAGAAAAGCAGATATGTGGATCAACTATATTTTAGCATTCAATTTCATTTTTGGCATATACAATCATTCTGATAGAATGATATTTGAAATGAAATTCGATCATTATTCTTTTGACGATAAACTATTTAAAAATGTTCCTTAGATGAAAATATAATATAAAACCGATTATAAAACCGAATATTTATAATAATAAAAAAACAAAATATAAATTATACATGGAAATCAATATATATGATATAATATTAATTATTAAAAGCATTTGCAGCGATCATGAAGAAATATCCGACCTCGTCTTCTTCGAACTCCGTAATAAATGGGCCGGGGTTTTCTATTGTTTTAGTCCACAAAGGCACCTTTGAAAGCAAATCATCATCTTCTCCATCTATTTCTGGATTAATTACAGTACCTTCTTGAATATCTTGGACTGATATTGAAGAGCTTGCTGTTCCAGCATTCCTAACATGTCTCTTTGTGTAATACAAAGTTAAAACTATTGTTAAAGTTAAAAGTAAGAAACAGCCAATAGCAACTGCTGCATATATTACAGCATTGGATTTCTTTTCTATAGACAATTTCTCTTCGTTAATTTGGCTGAGGCTGTCTGTATCCTCAATTTTAATTGGTTGATATCTTTGTGACATGTGTGGTGTAGTCATTGGAATACTGTGCGGTGTTGAGTGTGGTGTTGAATGCGGTGTAGAATGTGGGGTAGAATGAGGAGTAGAGTGTGGAGTACTGTGTGGTGTGGAATGTGGAGTGCTGTGAGCGGTAGAATGTGGTGTTTAATGAGGCGTTGAATGTGGAGTACTATGAGGTGTAGAATGTGGAGTTGAGTGGGCAGTACTATGCGGTGTGGAGTGTGGTGTAGAATGAGGTGTAGAATGAGGAGTGGAATGTGGAGTACTATGTGGGGTGGAATGCGGGGTACTATGTGGTGTAGAGTGAGGGGTACTGTGTGCAGTGGAATGTGGGGTGGAATGAGGTGTTGAGTGTGGAGTAGAATTGGGAGTACTGTGTGGAGTGCTGTGAGGAGTAGAATGGAAAGTTGAGTGCGGTGTTGAATGTGGAGTGGAGTGTGGTGTACTATGCGGTGTAGAGTGTGGGGTCGAATGAGCAGTACTGTGTGGTGTAGAGTGAGGAGTTGAATGTGGAGTACTATGTGGAGTAGAATGGAAAGTTGAATGGGGTGTGGAATGTGGAGTAGAATGAGGAGTACTATGAGGAGTGGAGAAGGCGGTCTTAAATGGAGTCTTGAACACAGTTTTCTGTGGAGTACTGTGTGCAGTAGAGTGTGGTGTAGAATGAGGAGTAGAGTAGGCTGTGGAATGAGGAGTGGAATGAACAGTTGAGAATGGAGTTTTATGGGCAGTTTTGAATGGAGTTTTGAATGGTGTTCTTTGCGCAAAAGTTCTTATTGGTGAAAGCGTTCTTGGAGAATATGGATAACTCCCGGAAGTCATCTTTTTAGCGGTTGGATATGTTTTCACTGGATTCATTGTAGCTTGTGGTAATTTCGATATAGCTGTTGCCCTCAAAAAGAACGATGATGGGGAAGGAACTGAACTTGTACCTGAAGCAGCATTGTTACTTTGTCTTGCTGGATTATATGAAGATTCAGCAATTGTAACTGGAGAAACACTATTCCAATCGTTAGCTGTTCTGCATGTCGTTCCACTTGACACTAAAAGATAAAAATTGAAATCAATTGAAGATCCAGATGTAGCTGACCAAGACTTTGTACTTGCAGATATAAGGTTTTGGTCTGGATCATTTTCATCGAATCCTTTAATACCATCATTTTGTGAATTCCAGAATAGCAAACCGTCGACCATAATTTCGTGTCCTGGACCATTGCCAAAAGAGGAAGCCAATGTGCCGGCGCTGTTTCCATAGAAGCAGCAGCTCTGCGTAATAAGTTGTCTCCTTTCATTTGACTTAGTTGTACCGAGAGGATTAACATGAAGTTTGTTATCTGATACAATGCAAAGAGCACCGCCGCCACGAGCACGGAATCTAGAATTATAATTATTTGTATTGATCGTTTGTTGTTTGGCTATGGATCTTTTGGAAATTTCGGTTGTGGCTAATGAATTTTGGTAAAAGTCGCATGAAAATAACTTTAAAAGATCTGTATCATGCACATAAAATCCTGCACCTGCAAAAGACGCTTTATTCTGATAGATCTTGGTTGTATCTAAATAAGCTTCCTTAACGTTCGTAAAACAGATAGCACCACCAATTTCTAGGGCTTCATTGTTAGCAAAAGTTGCGTCTTGGCATATAAACGAGTATGACTGGGATAATTGCGTTCTCAGTTGGTTATTAAATTCACCTTGAAAATGTATTGCTCCGCCATATTTAAAAGCGGTATTATATGTGAAACTGCACTTATTAATATATATTGCAGATGCATGAGAGAAAATGGCGCCGCCTAACGCAGCTTGGCAATGAGAGAAAGAAATTATCATTGACGTCGTCGATGTTGAGAGCATTGAATAGGATATATACATTGCACCGCCTGATCCTGTAGCAGATCTGGCACCGAAAGCATAACATCCTGTAAAAGATGAAGATTGTGTTAATGTTATTGACGAAAAGTAATATTGATTTTGTTGCAAACCTGTCGTAAATGTTGTAGAAATAGTGATATCTACATTACTTAGACCACCACTTGGGGATGTTTCAGCACCAACTTCTAATGTATTAAAACTTGGAGCTTGAGCATGTTCAAGAAGAGTTTTTTGATCGAGCTCGGTAAATCGTCGTAGTTCTTTGAAGGAACTGGTTAAAATCGTCAAGAAAGAAAGCATTAAATTTCAAATACTTTTAAAAAAATTTATTCAAATGAAATAAAATAATAATATCTTGTTTTTATTTTACAAGCAGATTGTAAAATGGACGCATGATTGAGAGATCTCAAAAATTTCAATGTGCTCTGTATCAAAAAAAAATTCGATAATTTGTAGGTAAATTGTATAATATATTAAAATGATGAATTCGTAATGAATTTGTGAGTGTTAGACAATCTCTGAATTTTTGTATGTGGCAGATTTTATGATTGGTTAAATGGGGATTAAATGATTTTTATGTAAATTTTCTAATCCCTAGTAATGCTGGTAAATGTGGTTTTCAAACAAAACAACAGATTCAATTAGCAAATCTAAGATAAAAACATTATTAATTCTATTTAATAATCGATCTTGAAATTATGGTAATTTCTTCGATTAATTTCAATAACATATCAATTTTTTTGAGAACTTCGGTTCATTTAAGGTTATTCAGGTAGAATAATACTTCATTATAGATCTAATAACTATATCAATATATATTATGCAGTTAATTTCTTCTAACTTCTTTTTGAATCCGATTTATTTCAGATAATTGAAATTTTACAAAATAAACATATATTACTCATTAAAGTATCTAGATTTAAATGAACTTAAAATTAGTTAATTATTTCATATTTTTATTTCCAATAACTTTGTTTTTCCCAAATATGTTAAGAAAAAGTGTTTCAACAATTATTTCCTGACTTTTCTATATCATTCGATGATATTTATTTTTCGAGACGATAAGATTTTGGATGAAATTGAACCTGTAACTCTTATTTTAATTATTATCAAGGTTGTCGCTAACGATATCTGGGTTAAAAAGTTGATATAAGTTAAACTACATTTGTTGTTTAGTTCAAATAAAAACAAAAAATTAAATTGAAATTAATGTAAGTCGAGTTCTGCCATATCTAAGATATTAATAGTTTCTGGGTCATTGGAAAGTTGTTTAGGTGTATGACCAAACTTATCCGTCCTGTTAATGATAACACTTTTCACTTTAATCAGATATTGTACTGTTAGTGATCGACCATTCGCTGCAGCAAGATGAAGTGGTGTTCTATCCCAATCATCCAAACAGTTTGGATCAACGATTGTGCAAGACAATAAAAATGAAACTACTTCAAGTTCGTCCATTGCAGCGGCAACATGGAGTGGGGTCCTTCCCAAGCTTTCCCTTGCATTAATATCAAGTCCAGGGATTGTAACCATGTGTTTAATAATTTTTAATGAACCGAAATGAGCGGCATTATGCAAAGGAGTCCAATTATCCTTGTTTCTAGAGTTTATATCAACTTCTGGGAATAGTGTAAGTATCTTGAAAGACTCAAGATATGCATCACTTTCTGCACAATCGAAGAGAAGCTTGTTTTCCTTGCCTTTTGTAACACCACAGTTATGACAGAATATAAGCATGCCTAAATTGTTGGTAAACATGCACTTTTGAAGAACATCATCAACAATATTTTCCATTTTCGGTTTCTGACAGACTTCTGGTGTGATATACTTCTGGAAGTAGTCATATCTACGGTAGTTAGCACCTACTTCAAGCGCTAATTCGACTTCTGCTCCCTTATTATGCAACCAATCAATAATTTTCATGTTTCCGCCTGCAACTGCTGCATTTACTATTGAGGCATCATATGGAATCTGATCGCAAAGCTCAAAGAAGCATTTCTCGGCATTGTAAAATGCGGCAAATTGAAGTAAAGAACAGCCGTAACGTGTGTAATCATTTTGGTCGAAATTATTAGGTTCGACCTTGTAATCCAATGAAAACTTTGGATGAGCCTTCATTTTTGTAACATCGTCCTTCATTATTGCATATTCAAGAGATGAAACTGGCCAACCGTATTCAATCATTTCCATGTATTCTTTGTTGTTCTCGAGCTTCTCTGGATCGCTTAGATAAGCTGCAAATTGTTTATTTACAGTGTAATTTTTAACAACGTCAGAAGAGACTTTAAGGAAAGATTCTCTAGCTTCTTTGAGTAATTCTGGGGCGAAGAAAACCAATAAAAAGATTACTTGATTAATAATTGTTAACGGTGGTGATTTAATTGATTCAATAACTTTTGAAAGAGGAAGAACTTTCATATTGTATAATTTCCTCAAAAACCTAGTGCATACAACTTGATCAGCTGGGTCTCTATGAGTTTTTGGTTGAGTAACAAAACGATATAAAGTTGCAATTAAAAATTTGAGCGAATTGAAATTACTTTTGCGTCGAGTGAGTAATTCTGTTAACTTTGTGAGTATTTTTTCTTTCTCAGGACGAATTTTATAAACATATATGATTTCAAAAATTAATTCTTCCATTCTATCCCTAATGAAGTCGCTATCAAGTACCTCTTCTACGATGTCATCGTAATTATCATCATTAAGATTGGTTAGCCACCATTGAAGTTTTGAAGTCTCCATTGTTGTTTGGCAACTATTATATTTTGAGTTCTCATTACAAATTATTTGAATTTAATCCATGAACTATCCTCATAATAGTAATTTTATAGGAAAAACACGATAATATCTTCGGTTGAAAAAGATTATGAGAAAGATATGAACTATGTTAGAATATTTGTTATATTTATGGACAAATTATTTGTCTTCACAATCCATGGCATAAAAAAATTTTAAAAAATCTCATTTATCAAAAACATTGAAATATTGGACTGTTAGATACTAGATTATGTTTATCTTAAAATGTGTAGAATTACCTTAGCAAAAATATAGCTATAACTGATAATTCGATGTAATTTATTTCAATAAAATGCATCTTATAGCATATTACTCTTATATTTGAATCTTAAAAGCTTTGTAACATTAAACATGAATCTATTTGTTTCAAATAATGTATTTCGAAATGAATTTCCAAATTAACTCTGAATCACATATTCAGGAGCATTTGTGAGTACAACACTGATAATCATTAGCATTACAGAATGCTTGGTAAACATTGAAGATGAATTATTCAATAATCTCAAATAAAAACAAGTGAATGGGCATCTAACTATATTTAATATACTCCCTTCATTTAGTAAATGTATTATGAACGAATTATGCGATTTAAGCTTCATAAAAATTATAATTAATTAATATTTTATTTTTAACAATTCAATTCTATTAACAAAGTAATTTATTAACAGATATTCCGCAAAAGGTTGAACCCGTATAGCTGCAAGTAACGTTAACAATGGAAGCAATCTGTTTTATGTTGTTTATTGTGTCAGGAATTGTTGAGTCGGAAGCTCCATAGTACATAATGGCAACTGTATTTCTTATGTTTCCAAAAGCGTTACCCAAGAACATGACTGAATCATGAACAAATAATTCTCGGAGAGAATTACAATCAATGAATGCATCTGTACCAATAATACATCCTTGACCAATTGTAACTTTTTCAAGGTTGTAGCATCCTTGGAATACATTATTTGAGATGTTGCACTGGGCAGGAATCAAGAACTCTTTTATTGATGAAAACATGAAAGCATATTGATCAATCTTAATTACCGAAGAAGGAATTTCGATCTTTTCGATATCAGAAAATGCAAAGCTATACTCTTGTAAATGAGTTACACCAGACTTAATTATGCATTCATTAACAGAGCAGCCTGCAAGTGTCCAATTTCCAAAGTATGCCACTGAACCAGGGAAAATTATTTTTTCAATTACACATGCAGAAAAAGCTTGATTTGATATACGATTTGTATTTTCTGGTATGGTAAAATTATTGAACTTCAGGAGAGCAAATGCAAAGTCACCAATATATAAGTTATCAGAAACTTGAGGTAGTATTAATGTTTCTAAAGTTATATTATAAAAGCAATATGAACCAATCCAAGTTATTGAAGGAGGAATCTCTATATGTCTAACATTGCTATCTCTAAAACATGAAGAAAGCAAATACATAACATGAGGAAGGATAACAGTGGTGCATGGAGTGTTGGCGAAAGCATAGTTTCCAATTGAATTTAAAGTTGATGGGAAAGTAATTTTCTCTATATTGCTATTAGAAAACCCATTGTAATCAATTATGGTAACTCCTTCAGGAATGACAATTTCTTTGATTAATGTTCCAATAAACTCGTAGGGGAGGATTTTTGATATCGAGTTATTAGAAATATGCATATATTTGCATCTGCAACCTATAAATTAACGATTAAGTGTTGTAAAGTTAGGAGTAATTTCAATTGTAGTAATGTTACAATTCTCGAAAACATTATTACAAAGGGAGTGAATTGAAGGTGGAAATGAAATGGATGTTAATAATGTGTTTGTAAAAGCATCAGTTTCAATAAGAGATAAATTATTTGGTAAATCAATTTGTTCCAAAGGAGTACAGTAAAATGCTTTGCTTCCAATAATTTGAAGAGTTGATGGAAGAGAAATTCTTTTAATTGAACTATATTGAAATGTACTAGCATTTAATAATGTAATTCCTTCTGGAATACTGCAATATGTAAAGTAACAGTATTGAAAGGCCTCGAAATAAATACTAAATACACTTGGTGGAACAATAATTTTTGGAGTTTGACAATAATAAAAAGCTGATTGTGCAATAGACTGCAAAGATTCTGGTAGAATTATTTCTTGAATTATTGCATGATCAAATGTATTAGAACCAAGGTAAACTGTTCCATATGGAATGGTAAGATTTGGGGTGGTTAAAAGACAAAATGCATAAGGATCAATACCATTAATTGTTGGAGGAAGGATTAAAACATCAAGTGTCATACCAGAGAGTTCTTCATTATATATTTGCCTCCTACCGAAAGGAATTTCATACCGCTTCATTGGTGTGTTACCCCATGCAAAGGCACCAACTTGTATGCTGGCACTTAATTTGATTGACTCAAGTTTGGATTGATAAAATGCATGATCGTATATTTTTGTTAAATATTTTGGAAGAATAATTGATTTAATTGGGCAATAAGCAAACGCCGAACTGCCAATATAAGTAATGCTTTCAGATAAGTTGATTGATTCTATTCTTGAATTACTAAATGCTCCAGTTGTTACAGCTGTCATTGATTTAGGGAGATTAATACTTTTAATTAATGTTCCTGCAAATGCCAAATTTCCAATGGATGTTATTGTATCAGGCATCTCAATTGAAAAAAGCTTTGAATAAGAGAAGAAAAAGTCGGGTATCTTTGTTGTTCCATTATTAAACTTGAACTTTCCAAGTAATGAATCTCGAAATACACCAACTCCAAAGTTTATTGATTTATTGTAATACATAAATTTCGAAATCAATGAACCTGCAAATGCATAATCACCTACTGAAGTTAGAGATTGAGGTAATTTTATCAAGACAATATTAGAATTTGCAAAATCCCAAGGTGCAATTGATGTAGTTCCATTTGGTATTTCAATTGTAGAGAGATCAGAATATGCGAATGCATAAGAACCAATTATCATTGTTGGTGATGATATATTGACTGATATAAGTTTTGTATATGCAAATGAGTAACTTCCTATGCTTTGAATACTTTCTGGAATTTCAAGATTTTTAATGGGATTATACGTGAAAGCAAAATCTGAAATTGTTGCTAAATTATTTGGTAAGACTAATTTTGAAACTGAACTATTATAAAATGAATATGATGCAATTGATTTAACACCGTTTGGAATTATCACTTCAGGGATGTTGCAAAAATAAAAGCTATAATCTCCTATTGCTTGAAGAGTTGAAGGGAAGTTAATATGACTTATTGATGTATTTGTAAAAAGATACATTGGTATTGAAACTGTTCCATCTTGGAAACCAACATGTGTTATTGAACATTCATGAAACATAAAACCTTTGGAAGAGCTTGATAAAAAATTTATTGGAAGTATTATTGTATTAATCGTCGTATGGTTAAATATGTTTATATAGAATGCAGTTGTATCAGAAGAAAACTCAATGTAGTTCAAACTCGTATTCATGAAAGCGCAATTGTCGATTTTTGTTATGTTTTTTGGAAAAGAAAGACTGTTAATAGAAGATTGATAAAAGCAATAAGAACCAATTAATTGCAAACCATATGGTAAAATTATATTGTTCAAAGAATCACAATATGATAAACAGAAGGAACCTAATTTAATAAGGTTTGATGAAAAATCAATTGTTTTCAAATTCGAGCAACCATAGAATGAGTAATCGCCAATATTCTTTATACTACCTGTTAGTTTGAATTCTTCCAGATTTGTGCAATTATAGAAAGATTTGATTCCGACCGAAACAACAGAACCATAAATTTGGATTGATTTAATGCCAGAATTAATGAATGCATTATTAGATATGTGTGATAATCCATTGAGAATTATTACATTCCTTAAATTGTTTGTATTTTGAAAAGCATTTTCCTCAATTGAAGGAACATTTGATATTGTTGCATTTATCATTGATGAACATGAATCAAACATGTAGCTCGATATAAGTCCATCTTTAATGACATAATTTCCGTAGTTCTCTTCATATTTCGCAGTGGCCATTAAAATTTTACTTCAATTTTTGCAACATAAAACTCTTAAGGATACCCTTACGTGTCAGATTTTTTGCGCATACGAAGAAGTCATGCTAGACATGAGCTATAAACCTGAAATTTTAGCAACATATTTAAAACTTTTTAAACTACAATACACTTTAATATTCAAGAACAAAAATATTCTTTTTAGAAATTACATAATTATTTTATGTGAAATCTATATAAAAACATATTTTGCGAGCGTAACTTTTTTCTTTATAAGCACCTTATATGACTGATAAACTGTGAAGGCACATAATTGTTAATTCATAGAGTTGATATGTTTCCAAAATTGAGAGGAAATTTGAAAATTGAATACCCTTTCAATTCAATTTTCAAAAGATATCAGCTCCTTCAATAATTGAAGGACGATTTTGATCATTTGCTCTTAAAACAAGTATGCCATGGAGAAAAAAGTTACGCTCGCAAATCTGAAATATAACTATCATATAAAAAAATTAAATTTCTAATTTTTTACTCTATAGATATTATTGGCCACTTGTGTAATGCATAAAAGTTTATGTCATATGCATACATTTGGAAGTATGGGAGACGAGGGAAATTACTTCTATGAGGACTAGGATTTTTAAAAATTTCTCTATCGGACTCACCATTCAATTTCTCGAAAATTAAAAAAAATCAATAATAGCTAAAATGTATTATGCATAACAAATTTTAATGTTACACGGTATTTTTTGAACTTCATGACATGAATTTTCTTTATATTATTTTTTTTTTGGATTTTCTATGATTTATGCGATAGGCTGGAACAACATTGTAAGTGCAATGATATCATTTATAGAGAAATCTAAAACTTCAGCATTCAGAACTCGCAACCACAAAAATATTCATTTGCTAAGTAAGTAAAGTTGATTAAGTTCGACACTTAGCTTTTATACGTAAAACCAAGTGTGTATTGTTATTTCTTGTTAAATTATTGAGAAAAAAATAAATTGTAAGAGAAACGATACTGATTATTGAAATAATATTGAGGGTAGCTGCAGATTTCTTCATTAACATGCCGGAAATTTGTTAATCTTGGTTTCTATCATAAAATCTGTCGAAGAATCTAAAAACGGAGATATGAAATAGAGATCATGTAAATCTAGAGTATCCTGTCAGAAAAATAGACTAAGCATGTAACCCTTTTTTGGTCATAAACACTTTTTACCACTTAGTCATACAGATGATCATTAAATTTAAACGAGCACTTTTTGTCAGAATTTATTCTTTTACAAAGACAGAAGATTTTAGTATTATTTAATATTAGTGCTGTAGCAAAATTCAAAAAACGGTGAAAATTCAGTGAATTTTTGAATTCACATTTTTTTTCGACATTTTTCTTGATATATCCATGCACATTAAGAACACAGCTTTGATACGCTTAAAAAAGCATATTTCATATGAAATTGTTAAAGAAATAAACAATTTATATAAAAATTGCACTTATGGGCAGTTTAGATATATAATTTATATATAACATATATACAAATCCATAGACAAAGTGCAATAACTACAATATTGTAGAAAATTACAGCAGAAATACTGACTTTTTGAAGGATAATAAGAATTCTTCTAAATGTTGTATTTTTATAATTTGATTGATTTTTTTTACTATTTCATTAATCTTTTATGATAATAATTATTTTTAATATATGTGCTATTAAAATTTCAAATTTTGACTAATATATCTAAGTTATCTGAACGAAACATTTAGAAAATATCATACTTACATTGAAATAGCAAGTAGAGCATATTAATAGCAAATTTCTTGGCTTTATATCTATCATCTATTGTTGTTTGATCAAACAAAATTCACTCTATTATATGGTGTCAATTAATTAAAACAATTTTTAATAGTTATTTATTTAGTGCGAATAAGTGCAAACTCATAAATGAATAACTTAATAGTAGAAATGAATTATCTGATATAAATCTCACATTTTGTCCATCAGAAATACTTTAATTGCATACGCATAACTATTAGTAATACGTCTGGAGTGTCAATTAATAACAATCCCACAACAAGTAAAATTCAGATTTTTATTAAACTTATTTTTTCCTAAAAGTTTTCTCAAATTACTATATATACATATGTGGATAAAATAATAGTAATATTGTAAAAAATTAGATAATTTTTTTTATTTGAGAACCTCTCAAAAGTTCATTCAATTTATCAATTGTTTCAGTTTGATGTATATTCATTTCTGGAGCCTAAAACTTTAGCAATCATGACAATATCATATTCTCTTTCTAACTACGCAATGTAAGGGTATCCTTAAACTGCCAATTGATTCATATTCAATCTTATTAAAGGAATTATTTATCATTATGTGAATTGGCATTGATTCATTTGCAATCCTTGCCTTCAAAAAATTAAATGATAACCTTTCAAATAGAAGCAATCACTCTCAAATGTGGCAAAAATAATTTTCCCAGAATATGTAAACAATTTGGTATGATTTATTAGTCATCATTGATGTAATATATAATGTTATAAACAGATTATTCATACAAAGATATTTTGATCGATTTTACGAATATTCAAAATGAATTTCTTTTCAATAAATTTATGAAAACCATAACTGCATTGAATTTTGAGAGAGCATTCTCAAATAACAAAAACTTCAGAATATAAAATACGAATAAATAATCATCGATATTGGTAGAATGAAATATCTTCAGTGTAAATGAAATATACAATGAATTCAATTGTGTTAATAACTTCATGGAAAATTTCAATGCCCTGTCAAAATCAAATTGAGAAACTCCCAATAATGGGGGTTAAAAATCAAATGATGAACTTTCTTCAAAGCGATCTTTTTTCTAAATCATAACAAATTTGTAACGTGTATTGTATTCATACAATTTTGATCGCTCATATTATCATAATCGATTTGAAGTCCATATTGATATCTTTAAATTTAGCAAAAAATAATATCATGGTATGTCCTCAACTCAATTCTTATGTTAATTGGTCAACGAAAAGAAGAGTTCTTGTTATGTTTACTTCACTAATCTTAATTTTCAAGAAATTGAATTTTTTCAATTGGATTCGATCATTCAGGAAAATTTATTTATAGAATAGTTGACTTTGGCTCGAGTTCATTTAATTTAAACACACAAATTAATAAAAATTTAAATCAAAATGTAAAATGAATTTTTATTTTGTGAATCAATGGCTTCATGTTACTGGAGGTGATATCCCACCTTCGGCATTTAATGGTTATAATATTTTCAGCTTAGCTAATATTTCCAAAGTTGGAACAATTGGAGAATCAGCTTTTAAATCCCTCATAAGTGTTCAAGAAGTTTACATCTATGACGTAACTACAATATTAGATAATGCTTTCTATAATTGCTACAATTTAGTAAAAGTTCAACTTCCTGAAACTATCAGATTTATAGGAAATTCTGCTTTTCAAAATTGCCAACTGTTAAATGAAATACAAACTCCTAATTCTTTTCAGCATCTTGGAGATTACGCATTCTGTAATACTTCAGTTACAAAATTTAATTATGGATCTGCAATAAAATATATTGGGAACATGCATTCGATCAATGCAAACTTGGAAATATAACTATTGCAAATGGACATACAAGAATATTTTCCTATTCATTTGCAAATTCTGGATTATATGATATTGTTTTGCCAACTACAGTTACAATTATTGAATCAGGAGCATTTAGTGATTGTTATTTTAAGAATTTTACTTTGTTTGAAGGATTGTCGATGATTAACTCAAGTGTATTTTCAAATTGTGTCAATTTAGAAAATTTGACAATCCCAAGTACCATAAAAGTTATCGGAAGTTTTGCCTTATCAAATACTCTTGTATTTAATCTTTCTCTTCCAGATACTTTTGTAGAAATTCAAGATTTTGGACTTGCAAATAGTAATATTCATTGGATAAAATATCCATATACAACAAAAATTGGTCAGTATGCTTTTTCAGGCTGTACCTTGCAAACATTAACAATTCCATATGGTGTCACTTATATTGGTAATTATACATTCGCAGGTAGCTTTTTAGTTTGGTTGAAATGTCCAGAAACATTAAATCAGATAAGATCAAATGCGTTTGATGGATCTAAAATATTAAAGGTTTTTCTTCTGAATCATTTAATTGATATTGGCCCTGCAATATTTCAAAATTCAATGTTAAAGCATTTTACCCTTTCTGAAGGATACACATTCATTCCAGAAGCGATGTTTAGCTTTTCTAAATTAAGAGAGTTCACAATTCCAAGTTCTGTTACAAGAATCGAAAGATGGGCATTCAGAGGTTGCAATATTGAAACAATAATTATCCCTGAAACCATCACACAGATACAAACAGGAACATTTATGGATTCTCAACTTCGTACTATGCGTTTGCCATCTGTTCTTTCAAGCATTGATGATTATGCGTTTTATAATAGTAAATTGCAATTTATTGATCTTCCATATGGAATTAAAACAATTGGTGATAGTGCTTTCGGATGTACTCCAATGGGAAACATTACTATTCCAAGCAGTATGACAGCAATTGGTACAGGCACATTCAAGGATTCAAATGTTTCCATAATTCATCTTCCTAGTACAATAAAATCAATTGGAAATTTTGCATTTTTCAACTCATCTTTAATATCAATCAACTTAACATCAGGAATGAGTGTAGGAAATTGTGCCTTTGCGTGGACTCCAATGCCAAATATCACATTACCAAGTGACAGAAATGCAATTTATGACTATGAATATGCATATACAAACTTACAATATTTCAATATTCCGGATAGTGTGAAATCAATTGGAAAATATGCATTTGCAGGCTGTTATTTTGATGAAATTAGAGTTCCCAAAAGTGTTACTTCACTAGGAGAAAGTGTATTTCGTGATACTTGTATCAAAAAAATATATCTTTCTTCTACATTAAAATCAATTGGTCAGTATTGTTTTATGAATGCAACTTGTGAATTAGTTGATTTTCCTGAAGGCTTCACCAGCCTTAGTTCATTTTGTTTTCAAAAATGCAATATTCCATCATTGAGAATTCCAAATTTAGTAACTTATATTCCCACAAATACATTCGATAGCAGTTTGATTCGTCATCTTTAGCTTTCAAATTCTATTACAGCTATTGATAATGATGCATTCTTTAAAACCCGTGGATTAGAGGAGCTAGAACTTCCTGAAACTCTAAAATATATTGGTTTATATTGTTTCGAATTATCATCACTTAAAACAATCAGAATTCCATCAAAAGTCGAATATCTTAAAGAGGGAACATTTCGGAACTCTCAACTCGAAACAATATATCTTTCAAATGGATTGAAATACATTGAAAAACTTGTATTTTATAATACACGTCTCAAATATGCAGAAATGCCAGAAAGTCTTGTTTCTATTCAAGAAAATGTTTTTTATAACACATCATTATCGTATTTGAATCTAAAAGAAAACTTCACAACTTTATATTCCTATTCTTTAGCATCAAGTAATATTTCTCAGATTACATTTCCACGCTCTATCAGAAATATATATTCATATGCATTTAAGAACACATCAATAACAAGTATTATTATTCCTGAGGGTTTAACATATCTTGGAGGTTATGCATTCTGTGACACAATAATCACATGTATGGAACTCCCATCTTCACTTCAAACAATCGGAAGTTATGCCTTTCAGAATTGTTCTGTGGAAAGTCTCGAGCTAAAGGAAGGTCTTGTGACACTCTCGGATTATGCTTTTTACAACAGTAGTATCAAAAGAATAAATATTCCTTCATCAGTCAAACAAATTGGGAACTATTGTTTCTTTAATGCTCCTATTAATTCCCTTGTTTTCCCAGAAACAGCAAACAATGTAACAATTGGTAAATTTGCATTCGCCTTCTTAAATCACGAGAACATCACAATTCCTGAAGGAACTTTATTTATTGATCAACATTCATTCAGAGGGATTTGCACAAGTAATATTTCATATCCATCTACATTGAATATTGGTAATTGGTCATTTACAGATGCATTCTCTGATGAGCTATTTATCCCTAATAACACAGAAATCATTAATGATTATTCTTTTGCATCAAGCAATATTAAAAAGATCCAAATTCCTTATTCAATGATGCACATTGGAATTGGTGCTTTCATGGCATCAGCAATCAATGAGACATTCATTCCAAACAATACATTTGTGGATCATAATGCCTTTGATGATTGCACAGAGTTGACATACATTAACATAAGCGAAAAAAGCATAATAAATTATGATGTCTTCAATAATTGTTATTCAATAAAAAATATTACAACATATGATGACATCAGATTAGAAGGATATGCTTTCTTCAATGTTACAAACGTAACAATTTCTCACTTAGGAATTCATGATATGAGAACAAGGATGACAAAAGATGCCTTTGAACCAATTATTTATATTTCATACGTAAAATGTTGCTACAAATCTCCAAAGTTTTGCCATCACATTCCAACAAACATCACATCTTGCGAAGGAGTATTCAATTGCTTTTCATACAATAAACTTGTATATAGAAACTACTATGCAAATTTGGCTACCATGTTTCTTACAAGAATAGATTTTGATTAACATTTTATTTTACATTTATTTATTAATAAACATGTATGATTTACCTTTTAAATATTTATTTTCTACTCATATATGATTTTGATTTGATATCTATTCAATTTTGTCACTTTTTATCGAGATTTTATTTTTTGAATTCTCAATGTTAGCGCAACAAAACAATCTTCCAAAGCTTTTGAAATCGGCAAGTTTCAGAATTATTCTTCCAGCATACACGCAAATCCAACCACAAGATATTTCTAAAATAAAAACCCGTAATTGGTTAGTTCCAGGTGAAAAAACAATTATTTTCATTGAAGTTAAGAACTGTGTTGGCTCAATGGATGCCTTCTTATTTTATTGCACTATCGTTGACTTACAAAAAACACCAAATCCTCCAGAACCAGCGAATTATGTCCCAGTTGGCGGATTAATTCCAAACTATACACTTCCGAATATACAATCATTCAAAACACCTGATGGTATCTTATATTTCCCTATTAGATTAACTGTTCCTCTTACTTGCGCTCAAAATGTTTCATTAGATGCATTTTGCCTCAGAGAAACAGAGCCTGTCTCCAAGCTCAAATGCTTCTCATTTTCTCCATTCAAGATTTATAAGACTCTTAACTTCACTCCTCAATCAATGGTAGTTTCAATCAATGTTAACGTCAATTTCCCACAGCAGTGGACTGATTCTGTTTCCATTCTCTCTGCTGCTTTGAAATTCAACGAAAAAATCGTTTCAGAAACTGATTTCTCTCAAAAAATCGCGATTATTTCTACAGCTGACACTTCTCTACAAATTTACGATGGAGATATTGTCACATGCGTATTTGCTCTTAAGCCTTTGAATGATTTAGGCGGAAGTGCGATGGCAAACCTTCCATTAGTTTTTAATTTGACATGGAGAGCCGATGGATCAGACTACGTGTCCTCCTTCCAGTTCCAGTCTGGTACACAGCCTTCCGATCTTGTTATTACGGCTCCTTCCGTCAAAGCTGATCTTCTCAAGAATTCAAGAATGCCGATAACCATTTCAAGTGTTGGCGCCGCACTTCCACGCTCTGTTACACTCAACTTCGGATCAGGAAACATCCAGCCAATGACGAGATCCATAAAACTCGATTTCACCAGCGAATCTACAGTTAAAATCATTGATTATAACTTTATCCCGTTGGTTAGTGGACATCATGAGCTTGATATCAGCGCGGAATGCGATGGAAAAATACTTCGACCATTATTCCCAATTTTTGTCGAAGTTTCTAAGCATGAATAAACCCTACTGTTTTGATTTAATATTCGTTCATTTATTTATGATGAAGAAGTAAATTTTTTTTGGAAATATTTTTTTGATCAAAAAAAAATATTTATATTGTAGAGGCGAAATTTCGAGATTTGTAGAAATAAAAAGGATATTTCTAAATATGTAAGCAAATTTACTTAAGGAGAGTGCCGTTGAACTTCTGAACGAACCATTCCTTAGCCTCCTCACGCTTGACGCGCTGGTTTGGACCAATGCGGGACTGGCAGTGCTTGCGGCGAGAGATACGGTTGCCTGGGCGCTCGAGAACGACATAGAGATCCATACCGTGGATACCGATATCACGATCGTACTTGAGACCAAGATCGATGTGCTCCTTGATGCCGAAGCCGAAGTTGCCTTCAATTGAGAAGCAGCGTCCGGAAATTTCATAATCGTGGACTTGGAGAGCGCGGTTAAGGATTTCGAGGGCCTTTGGACCACGGATTGTAGCGTAGGCGGCGATCTTATCGTTACGACGGATGCCGAACTTTGGAATTGTACGGTGGGAACGGGCAAGCATAGCCTGCTGCTTTGTAAGCTGTTCAATAACGCGGGAAGCACGTGTAACCTGATCACCGACAGCACCTGGGTTGATGTTGATGCAAAGCTTTGCAACACGGATCTCGTTGAGCTTGTTAGACATCGAAAGGCCGACCAAAGAAACCGTTCAAACCGAAAATTTTAGGTCCTCTGATTTTAGTATTATTAATACCTCAAACAATTAAAAATTATTTTGCACCTAAAATGACAGGATTTTGAAAGAATCAATTTTTTATGATCTAGGTCAATTTCACTGATACTTTGATAGAAACACACTGCTGAGAAACGTATGTTGATTTGAGTATCAAATTTAAATGGAAATGAATATTTAAAAATGAAGATATAAAATCAGTTATTATTTTTGACTAATTATTAAAGCATTAATTAAAACTCGTCAGAGTGGTAATATTTAGATAATTAAAACAGTATAGATTTAGTATTAAATAACAAAAGTTAGATAAGTATCAACAATACGTAAGAATATGAATTGTACTTAAGACCACAGAGAATATAAAGTGAACACAACCGATAAAAATACAATTAATTCGCATAGATATTGGATGAACTCTATCAAAGTGCATAATTTGAAATCCTCTTCAGGTTTTTTATCTTTTTGATCCGAACCTTGATTAGGCGCATGGTCTGATGAAATGATTTGCTCTTTTGGTTTTTCTGGATCTTGATCATCATCAACATCCATAAGATTATCATCAAGAATGATAGCTACATCATCAGCTTCATCATATTTTGCTAAGTTTCGAAGAAGAGTTTTATAATTTGTATGCATTTCTTTCAAATACTTCTTTGCTTTTCTTTTTGTCTTATTGTCCCAATCATCTGTTTTATTTACGATTAAATTAATCGTGTTATGCATAGCATCTAGTTGTTCATGAGTTTGATTTAGTAAATCGCTTGCGATTGCTCCTTCAGCGTCACTTGATGATGAAAGAGAATCATAACTAGAACAAGCTTTGTTATACTGACTCATTAATTTATCATGAAGATACTGATAAGAATCTTCATCCATTTCAAAAAAAAATTATAATTAAAAGGGGTTATTTTTCCTAAAATATAAAGGGGAGTTGATAAAAAAATATAAAAAAAATCAATGCATCCATTTGTTGTTGGTTTTCTTTTTACTTTTATCTTACTATTGGTAGCATTAATTGTTCTTAGAATAACAATTCCATATGCCTCAAAGATGTTTGGAACTCGCCCAATTCCATATAAAATGACGAAAGAATCTACTGATTGGCTCAACTTTATAATTTACAGAGTATTGACTCACTTCCAAACTCCTGAATCAATTGCTAAAATCAATGCTCTTGTTAATGACAAAGTTAAACCGGCAAAATTTGAATTATTAACTCTTGGCAACTCCCCAGTTATTCCTTATGTTGCTACTTTAGATGTTAATAATAAGGATGATATTAAGATTCTTATCCCACTTACATGGGAAGAAGGACCTTCATTGAATTTTTCAATGCTGAATGAGAATCTTACAGCAGAAGTTGACTTAAAGTTATTCAAAGGAACTTTGCTTGTTTCCTGGCCAACTAATCAAGAAATTGATCTCGAAATCAGATTCATCAATGACTGTAAGATCGATTTTGATGTATCTCTCATTCTTTTCAAGAATACTTGGTTACCATTATCATCGATACCATTATTTGGTCCAGTCATTAAGGGACTTATTTCATTCTTCATGACCAAGGGTGCAATCAAAGTCAAGGCGGAAATCCAGATTCCTGATGAGCTCAGATAAATATAACATGACTAAATATGTTTATTATCAAAACAACTTATTTTTCATTCATACAATCAAATTTACTATAAAAATGTTTCGTTTCTGTTGAGTTCTATATGTAATGTCATAATCATCATTCAACTCGTTTCTTTTCATGAAATTTATTTTTAAATTTGATTTATTTAGAGAATTTTACAAAAAATTCCTTTGCAATATATAATATATCAATAAATAAGAATTATTGATGATATACTTTTCTCATAAATTTTCCAAATAAATCAGAAAAATCAAAATTTAAAATGAATTTCAACAATTTTTCATTTCATTTTAGAAAAATCAAAAAAATTTTGGAATTTGGAAAGATGTTGTTTAGGTTTAATTTCAACAGTAATGCATAGTTTTTCCATTGTACCATATTGTTTCAACATATTTACATTCAGAATATATATATCTCTGCAGTTAGTAAGCTTAAATGATTACCGAGTAAGTTAATTAGATTAAGACATATTTATTTGTAGTCTGAATTAAAGAAAAAATAAAAAATAATTTAATGGTCAGTAAATGTCCAGACACCCTTCTTGTCTGCAAGCTTACCGCAAATAAGTTCATGTTCGCTACCGTAGTCATTTAAGAATGTAGCATCCTGAACAATAAGTGGGAGGTTTGTTGTAACATTCTTGAGAAGAACTGGCTCACCAATATGAACTGGTTCGCCTTCCATCTCCATCATTGTATCTCTGCCGACACTTTCAACACGCCAAATTGCTTGTGGTGTTTCTTTTTCGGTTGAATATACAAGTTGCTTGCGAGAAACGCGAGAGAAGTGAGACCAGTCAAGGTGGTGTGAAGCGATGTAGAATGGATTTGGTCCAAGGGAATCTGATGAAGAAATTAAGAATTCATCGCCGAAGCAAAGAACGTCGTCTTCTCTTGTTTCCTTTGGAGCACCGTTGTTATTGCATTGCTTAAGTACCCAAACATTACGAGCTGTGACATCGTCTGTGCGGCAACCTGTAGCAGAATACATGCCTTCTTCGACGTGTTCAGCATCTCCTGGATCGCATCCGAGGAAGCATTCTAAACCAGCGTTCTTGATACGGATCATTGTTGAGTAGTGAACTAATCCGTCCTCTTGTGGAGGTGGCATTTGAACCATTACGAGATTTTGGCGAATACGCTGAATTGTTAAAGTTCCAGCGGCCTTTTTCTCAAGGAATTCACGCATTTTCTCATCTTCTAATACCATTTCTTCATACCAGTTGCCAATGCGAGTTGTCGGTTGGTAATGGTTCTGCATATCTTAATAAAAAAAATAACGGATTTTAATACGGTTTGAACGATAAAATTACAACTATTGAAAGGTAAAAAATGGAATCAACTGATAGTCCTAAGAAAAGTATGATATTACGCAGCCGTAAAAATCTCGATATGCATATACTCGATATGCCTATCGATATTGATGAAGAATTAAGTAACTTAGTCACTCAAATTGAACAAAATACTTTCTCAATTTTATCAATTAAACAGAAATTTGCACTTATGAAAAAGAATGGCGATGAGTTCAAGCAAGAGGCTCATTCAAGACTCGATTCATTTAATAAATTGATTGAAAATCTTGAAAATAAAACACTTGAAACTTTCGATTCTTACAGTGCTCGTTTAGATAATATGGAAATATTATCATTCAGACCGTCAATGTTCCATCCAGCTAAGTCATTTACAATTCCTACAAATAACGAGATTACTACTATCAGTAACACTGATGATTTCATCTTCATTGGCACTGATATTTCCATGATTTTCGTTTTTAGCTTTGATACATTACAGAAATTTGTTGATTTAGGTCCATTTGATAACAATCCAATCACTAAGCTTTGTTCATTCAAAATAGATACTACAACATATGTATTATCATATACGAATACCAGAACGGTTTTCATTTCAGATCCTAATAAACCAGCTTTTCAAGTTAAACATAATGGACATAACTTTATTTGCTGGCCAAGCTCTTTGAGCTGCAAATACAAATTTGCTATTTTCCGTCAGAAAGAAATCCGTCTTTTCTCGAACAGTTTAGAACAGTACGATACCTTGACTTTGACAGCCACTTTAGGCGCAGGAGGAGTTGATAGCTTAGTTACAGCCTACGAAAAAACCGTTACTGTTGTCAATTTTGGAGAGGAAGAAGAGACAAGACGAACGTTTGATTTTAACTTCGAAATTACTCACTTGACCGCATCAAAATCTTTCTTCTGCGTATCAGGAAAAGAAGAAATCGTAATTTGCAATTATGAAGGAGAAAAAAGACAAATTAATTTCAATAATCCTACCTCGTTTTTGACTTCTAATGAATTCTATATTTTCAGAATAGCTAATAAGATGATGATTGAAGTTTACGATGCTTTTGGTAAAAATAAAGTAATTTATGTCGGAAGCGATAACTGGTCACCTCATGATGGCCATGATGCTCCTTCTGCAGCATGCTTATGCGACTCTGTAATTATGACAGGAAAATCGACCAAATGCGTAATTTGGTCTGAATAAAATTTTTGTTTGTATATCTTTATTATTAAATCCAGAATATTTTTAGGAATTCCAACATGCAATGTACTGGAGGAATAGATATTAGCCCGGAAACATTAGATTGCTAATTAATATCAAAACCTAATGAAACGTCGATGGTTCATTAATTTGAATCTATTAAACATTACAACTAGATAAGTACTTAAGGTTTTAATCTGCCATAAAGTTGTTAATGATGTAAATTCATACATAGCTCATAATATTGATTTTAACGAGGATTTCTGATAACGTATAAGGTATTTTCGCACATGCTTGCAATTCTCGTAAGGAGCAAATATAAACAAACGTCAGTAAGAATATTGTCCTTTCTCATATTTAATATTATATCGTTATATATTTAATAAGACACAATATCATACACTTTCAGTAAGTATATTTTGTTGAAGGATTATTGTATGATAGAAATCGAGAATTTGCATTTCAATAATTTCGTTTTAATTTTTGACTTTCTGCATTAAATAGACCATATATCCATTAAACTTTTTCTGATATTGGACGGAACTCCATTCAATAAACTTAAGTGGATAATTCTACGGATGTCAATTGATAAATTATCCACTTTCTTCATCATTGTATCCTTAATTAGAGCCAATACTTAACATCCAATAATTTAAGATGATTAATTTTTCAAAATTTCAAAAATTTGCAAAAAAGTTGAATAAATACCCAAACATGCGAAATAATAATATCTTTCATCTTCGTTTTAATTTGACTCATAAAATCAAGTGGAATTAGTATATCCTGGGTTTAATCTTTTGTTTAGTTGTAAAATCTTTGACGTAAATTTACAAAATTGATAAAATAAATTTGTAAAAAACCTATCCTGGACGATAATTCTTCTGAAAATTGAGAATAAATCGTTTTCCCTAAATCAATCGAGTTCTGATATCATATGAGTATATATCCGAAGTTTCATTTTTGAGCTTTGAATGTTCTCCCGAACACAAAAAATTGAAAGAAGTCATTCAACAAAATATCAATGCAAATAAGTGTCTTCTTACACGATTCAAACAACGAAATCAAAGAGATATCAGTCCACAAGACCGATCCAGTTCAAGTTCTTCAAGATGAAATCAAAGGAAATGACAAGAGATTCATAATGTACAAAAACTCATTACTAATGACTTCTTTTAGTTTTCAGTTCTTTGGCATCAAAGATGGTGATCATTTATACGTACTGCGAACAAAATATGGCAATAAGAAAAGAGAAATGGCCGAAACATCAAAATCTTTATTACAAATGCAACGAAGCAGCCGCTGTTGCATGATTCTTTCAAATAACAATGTAGAAGTTATAGATAAGTCAGCTTTACTAGAATGCACACGCTTGTTAGACCTCATGTACCTACGTGATGATTACTTGTCACCAGCTAGCCGTCGCGGACCAGAAATCATGGCTTCTGATGCCTCTCAAGCTAGTAATTCTTCGAAGAGCATTATTCCTACGGTTCGTCTTAACGAGCCATCATCAGAAGTATTGCCAATCTTTTGGAACCCAGGCCATAAGAGATTGCTCTCATAAGGAAAGAATTCGATGATTTTATGCTACTGATACGATTTCCTACGTCCGAATCCGTGTCTTTGGTCTTGAAATTACGTAGAGGTTATTCGTTCGAAGTACAACGATATATATCGTCACGAATTTTTTTGACACTTTTTAAGTGTCAAAACGAGAGTTAATCTCCGAGTTTATTTTGAAGAATCCTACTTCTTCTGCAATGTTGCTTCTGAGTTAAAATCTCCCGAAAAGTGACAAATTTTCACATCCCAAAAACCGATTGCGTTTATTCAAACCACAAATTAATTATGTTTAGTAAACTTTTTATTGTATGTATTAACCGATTCATATTTTTATTTCACTTTGAGTCATGATTTCAAATGTGCTTTCTTCATCAACTTACATTGATGAAATTATTGATTCAAATTACATTGCCTTCGTATTTTTCATGTGATTCATCAAAAAATATGAAATATTGCTTCGATTCATTGAAACCAAATGGATAAAACTTGCTTTATTACAGCCATATAAGATTATATTACAGACAATTCATTATGTAGGGTATTTTATGTTCTGATAGTTACAATCCAGTATGCAATATTGCTTTATACTCTTGCATCAATAAGGTGCTTTATACTCTTGCATCAATTTAGATACTTGTTCTAAACATGTAACAATTTCGAGAGTTAAGCTTTATGGTCTCTTTAAAGTTAAAATTACGATAATATATAAATTTTGATCGTGTTGATGGAACAAGCCTAGGCTATTTTTTAGAACATACAGATTGACTTGGATTCCAAATGGAAAAATGAAATCGTTTTTCTTTTTCAACCATTTAGAGTAAAATGCCCTAAACCTGAAAATAATCATTATTTCTTTTGAAGAATCTATTCTACTAATTAAATGAATTAAGAGATTCAAGTATGATCGATCGATTATCAATTCATTCACAATCTGTAAATTTATTGAGTTTTTTTTATACGATTTTTGATTATTTTGAAAGATATCGAGATTTTATTGTGAATATATATTCTGATTTTTTCCTTGATACCTCAAGCAATCAACCTCAATTTTTCCTATAAATTTTTATTCATTAGATAAAAATATATGATTGTTATTACTCATTAACTTTTTCATTATTCGTTTTAACCTTATTTGACAAATATAAAATAACGATAGTCAATTTTTCAATACATTTGACACTTTTATATTTAATTTTGATAAACACTTCATTATCCGTTTTGACAACGAAACAAAATTCACGAAAAATCATTTAATATATAATTTAAAGTATTGCAAGTTTGATAAATACGTTATTATTCGGATATTTTTCAAATTTGTGAGTAACTTCCGAAAATTTTAATATGCTAGCGGCATATATCTTGGTTCATCGATTTAGCAAACTTGTTGCATAGGGTTAAATCTCCACATTTTAAATTTATTAATAATCAAAAATCAATCTCATTATTTTTTCACAAATTTAAATTTGATCCTTTGAATAAGTCATATGATATATTCTCACAATCCATGATATTCACTTTCAATAGGAATTGTTGTTAAATTTTCTGAGCTTTCCACAATTTTTTATATTTCTTATTTATTTGATATTTTTAATTTGCCAAACTCTCCTAATAATATTAAAAAATTTAAATAAATCGTAACCGAAAAAGTTTTCACAATACAAAAATTGGGTTATATAATTAAGAATACTAATTTTCTAGGTCAATTATAATTTAATAACGTGGGAGGATGAATAATAAGTTAATAAAGTTCCCAAATTTACACAGAAAACCGCACATTAATTCAATATATTCGTAAACTTTTGTTTACAAATAAAATTAATTTATACGTAATTTTTTTTTAGAATTATGGCTACCCAACAACAAAAACCACTCCTTCCCCCAATAAGTTCTTTTGCAACAGGTATGCCATTGTTAAATGTTGATTTAGGAGTTCAACAACCTCCATCATATGAAGAATACCAGTATCCTCCTGTGATTTCACAACAAAATTCGATACCACTTTTTCCAAAGATTATAAAAGGAAAACCAACAACATTTTCTGTGCTTGAGGATATCTCAATCCTCAAGGCAATGCGTTTATATATTGGAAAAAACGTATCTCTTAAAATTCCTTGGTCATTCTGGCAATTATATCGACGTTATACTGGTAGTCAAAGAAGTGATTCATCACTATATCATCATTGGAATGGTGCAATGGTTAAAAAATATGGTAACTTCATTAAAGATGGAAAAATTGATGAGTGCATCCAATGGGCAGAATCCACTCTTGATCTTGATGCAGTTTCTGGAGATGTAGAACCAGATGCTAAACCAATAGAACCTCGTGCTTTGGTACATACACAATCTCAACAAGTTCTTCCTCCGTATTTTAACTTCCAAACTATGTCAGATGATACTAATGGACACTCTAGAGGATTAACTCATTTCCAATCTCTCAACGAAGCTGATAGATATTTTCAACCGATAAGAAAATGAAAATAACGCAAACAATCCGATATTACCATGTAATGTTTTGCATATATTTTATTTTATACATGTATTTGTTTTGTATTTTTAAAATATGAATATTTAAACCTAAGTATACATCATTTATAATACGCTGGTATTACCATTTTTGAATCATCGATTTCGGAGTATTATGCGATCTCTGATTTCTAAAATTATTTTTTGATAACGGAATATGAATAAAACATAATCATACACTTTCAAGAATTTATCCTATCACTGTGAGTTTATAAGAAGATTTGAAATCAAAATTTCGGAAAAAAAAGAGGAATTGCTTTCAAATAATATTGAAAATTTTATTTCTTTCTTGGTGACAAAACAGTATTTCTCATGTTAGTGAGAGCAGACTTAACAAGAACTGATACAGGGGTATGTATGTTAGGATCAGTGTTTGAAAGTAGGAATTGAATAATATTATCTGCAGAAACCTTTCCACCACTAACACTACATTGATTTACAATCTTAAGAGCTGCAGATCCGCTAATATTGAAAAGAGATAAGGCAGTCTCAGCTTGCATCTTTGTAAGGAGTTTACGGGGTCCAACCGCTCCACGAATGAGCCTTTCATTTCTCTCATTTGCGAGGTTCGATGATTTAGCTGAGATAGGAGCTTGACCAACTGATTTTTTATCTAGTGTTTGCGTTTGATTCAACGATGAATCATCTTCATCTTGCAACTGTTGTTCCTCTGCTTGCTGTTCGCGCTTCTTTTGAGTTACTGAGAAACAGCGTGGTATATTTGACTTCTTTGCTGTTGGTTTTTCTGAAATTGTTGAAATTGCTTGTTTTGACTTACGATTAGGTGGATAGATAAGGAGAACATAAGGATCATTCTTAGGATCAAATATTATATCTTCGTCCTTATCAGATATTTGTTGGTTTTCTTCATTTCCAGAAGATTTTGCTTGCTTAGGGGAAGAATTTACCAGTATTTCTTCACTATTCGCTTCTTCATTTTCTTCTTTTGTTTCTTCTTCTCCCTCTTGCTTGGACACTTCTAACACAAGTTCATCCTCTTCTGCAGGTATTGAATCTTCAACTTTTTCCTTCCCTTCATCAACATCTTCTTTATTTTCATCAGTATTTTCATCGTTATGTATTTCTGCAACAAATTCAGATGCATTATTGATATTTGCTGAATCAATTAAACCTGAATCACCAAATTGTCCAAGTTCGTTGTTCAAAAACCTATTAACTTCATCTAGTATTTCTTGGGAATCTCCTCCTTTCAATGCATTGGTAGAATTTTCGTCTGTTTCCAGTTCTGAATTTTTCGAAAGTTTTTCTACATCAATTCCGTCTTTATTTTCAGTATTTTCTTCGGTTTTTTGATCAGTATCAGCTATATCTTGATCATCCTCATCTTTAATACCATGCTCTGCTAAAATTTGATCAATATTCAATTCTTCATCATCATCGTCATCACCAGCTTTCGGAAGACCTAATTCATCTTCTTGTTCTTCCTGTAAATTATCAATCTCTGTGTTATGATCATTAGTTTCCGTCATTTTATACAATTTTTCCTCAAAAAAATATTTAAACGTCTAATTTTATACCATATCAAAATTTTTGTTCCAAATTGATCACAGGCTAGAGTAATGACATTTCTGTTTCTGAAAATTGCTTTTCAATAAATGAATACAATTAATTTTATCTAAAATCAATAATTTTGTTCAAAATCAATGGCATTACTCGATTTAAATCGAAAAGCTGTGATAAAAATAAGTAATTCAACTAGATCTGTTGCAAAATCTGATAAATCTTTGAATTCAATTCTTCATTCCCCTATAAATCTAGATACATATAGACTCTAATGAATTAAAAATTTACATACCATAGAATACGTGATTCAGAATTATATATAATCTTATTATCCCACATATCTGAATCAGATTAAGACAAAAAATAAAAGAGCACATTAGAGTTCTGAGTTATTTAGGTAATTCATTTGTCAGATAGCTTTTAAACTGATCATGATTAAAAAGGTATTCGATTTAAAAGAATAATTTTTTAGTTATTCCTTATTAAAAAGAGGGTGTTCATTTGTGTGAGTACTTGCCAGAAATCTTTCCACGGCCATCCTTTGTTGTATAGGAACCGGAGACTTCCCATGGATTGGCATCATCATACTCGTAATCATTGGAAGACCACTTTCCAGAGATTTGACCACGGCCATCCTTTGTTGTGTAGGAACCGGAGACTTCCCATGGATTGGCATCATCATACTCGTAATCATTGGAAGACCACTTTCCAGAGATTTGACCACGGCCATCCTTTGTTGTGTAGGATCCGGAGACTTCCCATGGATTGGCATCACGATATTTTTTACCAATGTGTTGGAGGGCCTCGATGAGTTCAATTTGGTGTGCAGGGAAGAGTCCATTACTTTCTTCTACTGATGAATCTGGTAAAGTGTACTTCCATGTGCCATCGAGGAATCGCTTAATTCCGTACTTCTTGCCATCTTCTGTTGTGTATGAGCCAGAGAGTTCCCATGGGTTAGCATCATCATATTCGTACTCGTTGGAGGACCATCTGCCAGAGATCTGACCGCGGCCATCCTTTGTTGTGTATGAACCGGAGATTTCCCAATCATTATCGTAATCGTAATCATTGGAGGACCATCTGCCAGAGATTTGGCCACGGCCATCCTTTGTTGTGTATGAGCCAGAGACTTCCCATGGGTTAGCATCATCATATTCGTAATCGTTTTCTTCATAATCAGCGAAACGGATTTGACCCTGGATGCCATAGCCACTAGAACCGTAGTGACCACTGATGGACCAATCACCGGATGGAGATGTGTAACCAACACCAAGATCGTAACCATTTTCATCATCATAGTAGTAATTTGAGGACCACTTGCCAGAGATCTGACCACGGCCATCCTTTGTTGTGTATGAGCCAGAGACTTCCCATGGGTTAGCATCATCATACTCATAATCGTTTTCTTCATAATCAGCGAAACGGATTTGACCCTGGATACCATAGCCACCAGAGCCATAGTGGCCACTAACGGACCAATCACCACTTGGTGACTTATAGCCTACGCCGATATCGTAACCATTTTCATCATCATAGTAGTAGTTTGAAGACCACTTGCCAGAGATTTGGCCACGGCCATCCTTTGTACGGTAGGATCCAGAGACCTCCCAGGGATTAGCCTCGTCATAGAGACGGTATGCTATCAAAGATAACATTATAAATTTATAAATTTGACATCAATTGATTTTTTAATTCAAATTTTAAATAAACCTTTACGATGATTACTACAGTCTATTTGAATCAACAGCATAATGGTTCACGAATTAAATAAAATTAACATTGACCATTTCAATTGCGTCATATTTGTAAAAGTGACCATTTTGACGACGATATTGCCAAATTTGCTTATTGAATTTAAAATCAAATCCGATAAATTTTTAGTTATCTCCTATAATCACATCATATGGGGTAGGGTTAAATTAAATAAGATCATTTGTTCTTAATTTTTTGGCAGCGAAATAATCTCTTCCAATTGAAAAATTGAATCGCACATAAAAATAATCTTATAATAAATGAGGAAATATAATATAAATAGGTTGCATTGCAGTATTTATTTGATATGTCAAATTAATTTAATAATTCTTGATAAGTACATATATTTTAACCCCTAAGTTGATACACAATCCTAATATCGAGTTATTAGCTTTCTTATATATAATTTATAAAGTGAAGTGACACTATTATTCATTATTGAGTAAAATGGTTTAACGGAAACTATTACACACATTCTTGATTAGACAGGTTTTCATTAGTTTATTTCTATTTCACCTTTTGAAAAAATTGATTATAAATTTGATCGCAAATGAAGCATTCGAAGGTTGGATATGCTTTTATTTTATAAGTAATTATTATTCAAAGTTTACCCTATTAATAAATCGAATTTTGAAATCCTGAATTTCAAAAAAAAACCTTCATTATGATATTCTAATAAACCTTTGGATGAAAATAGCTAAAACAAATCCATTCTGCTCTATATATGCATTTCATTGGAATATATCAAAATATCTAAGATTAAATTCAGTATTTTCCATGAGAATAACCAATTACAAGGTTACCGATATTCTCATATTTATGTTGTTGTTAAAGAATTTACAAGTTTTATAAAACATTTTCAAATTTTGTTTTACTCTTTATTGAACAATTTAAAAATATAGTAAAAATCATGATTAGTTACGATAGCTGAACTTTCTGAAAGTGAAGTACAAAGCAGCTCCAACAGCAGCTGCAGCAGCAACTCCAATTACGACTGTTGTAACGATAGAAGTCTTCTTTGGCTCTTCATCATCGTTTTTAACAGAAGGAACCTCGATATTCTGAACTTTGTTTTCATCAAGATTTATATCGGATTTATGTTCTTCTTCGAGAGTTCCTGATGACGAGTTCTTTGTTTCTATCATCGATGGAGGGAATAATTCCGGTTTTTCTTCTGTTCTTGTTGCAGGAATTTCTTCGGATTTCGGAGTTTCTACCGGAGCAGGAGTTTCCTCTTGTTTTGGTGGCTCTTCGTGCTTCTCTTCTTCTTCCTTGAAGTCAATCTTGCGTTCTGGAGCTTGGGAAGGAACATCCATGTCAATTTGTCTGTCTGGGTTAGGATTGATGTCGAAAATGGAGGAAGATGGGGATCTAAGTGGACTCTGGACCTTAACGAAGTGATCAGCGGCCTCGGAAAGATCGATATCGGTCTGACCAAAATGTTTTGGTCGAGATCCTGAACTTGAAGAGGACGAACCATCCTTGAAATGCTTTCCGCGCTGTTTGGCGACCTTGCTGATCTCCTGGGAGTCCTTTAAATGCCTTGTTCCGCTTTGGACTTTGAGGATATCTGGGAAATCAACTGAATAAACAATTTTGTCCTTAGGAGATGTCAACAGGACAACATCATTGCTCTTGGCCATTACGGATCCGAATCCTTGTAAGTTGTTAGCGATATTTCCGAAATTTTCAACGGCAAGTGTTTCATTTGACCGGATATTGTACATTTGGATCTCTCCTTTAGCAGAAAGAATGACAATGTGGTTGTTGATCGCAAAAATCGAATCAATACTCGAATGATGAAGATTGATATCCAATTTTGTCCAAATTCTATCCTTCAAATCGAAGAAATACACATCAGTAAATGTTGTTTTCTCGTTTGTACCGCCGATAATGAACATTTTATCGCCTAAAACCACTGCATTGTGGTTTGATCGAGCTGGAGGAGCATTTTGTGCATTGATCTGCTCGGAAGCTCCGGAGTTTGGATCAATCATGACCAAATCATTGACAAACTTGGTTGTCGACGTTTGTCCTCCGAAAACATAGAGATAATTATCGTAAGAAATGAGGGATTCGCCGGTTCTTGGGGTGTAGAATCCAGTTATCTTCTTTGCTTCGACGGAATGTGTATGCGGATCGATGACATAAAGGAATCCAGTGGAAATTATGCAAATTGTGTGGCCAATTGAGACAATTTTAGGACTTTTGAGGGCAGGAAGTGGACATTCTTCATTTGTAACAGCTCTGGACTTGAAATCAGAGCTGATACTGAGGTAATGAATATTATTATAATCTTTACCGCTAAAAATGTAAATTCTTCCGGAAATTCTGATCGCAAGGTGTTTTCCAACTATTGGGTAGCTCTCCTGAGCCTTGTTGGCCGTCCATTTGAATCCAAACTTGCAATTTGATTTTAACATCAACATTGTTAGTTGTTTTTCGTATTCTCCGAAGAATTTCTCGTAGTTCTCAACTGATTGGAAGTCAACCTGGTATTCGTGATGGTCTCTGAGCATTCTTTTCGCGTATTCTTTTCCGGATGCGTCAACAGTGATAGAAGTAGCGTTTGGCTTGCCAGGGATGAACGGAAATGCAGTTATAGGCGCATCAAATATAATTTTCTGGCCTTTGCTGCCGTCTTTGATGAACATCAAGATATCATCGAAGAAAAATATTGTTCCTGTGACATTTGAACGCTCAATAACCTGTACTGTGTATTCACTAAGTAATTGGCGTTGTTTGTCGAGGAAAGTAAACTGATCTGAGATCTTTTGCTGTAAATCAAATAACTTTTTCTGTAATTTAGCGGAAGTAGAGACTTGATCAATCTGCTTTGTAACAATATCGATTTGTTCGGCTGCGTACTTGATTAGATTCGAATCTGGATGAGATGGTGGAGTGTTTTTAACTAATTCTTTCATAAACAAGGTATAACGAGGCATTCTTTGAACAGGAGTAATAAGGTATGATTGGAAATTCTTTTCATTGCATTCCGATTGAAGTTTCTTGAATAATTTTGCAAATTTTGCCTTGGATTCATATCCACTTACAATTTGTTGAATTGTTTGGTAATTTGAGATGTACATTTGGCTGAATTTGAATATCTGAGAAAATTTAAGGAATGTTCCTGCAAAACAAGCTTCGTAATTCGATCCATTCGCTTTGAGTTCTTCTAAAAATAACTTATGGCAATTTAATATTGGCCCGATATTCTTGAATATCTGGTCCATATCAAGGGGATCCATTTTGATTACGTTTGCACAGTTTGGCTGCCAAAATTCGACAATTGTTGTCAAATCTTTGATATAAGTTTCTTCTGTATATATAATTTCCTTTTCGATGTTCACTCTTTTCTTAGTCTTATTAGTGAGTTCTTCAGTAATATCGAATTTAAGGAGTAAATCTTCGACTTGCGCTTTTCCGACCACTCTGGATGCGCTTTCATTCTCATCTACTTCTTCTTCTCCAAACATAAGTGATGGGTTTTGTATTGGAAGTCCAAGCTGATTTGTAATAGTTTCCATTAATTCTGCAGTATTCATTTGTTCAATTGTGGCTATATTGATTTTAGCATAATAAGGTGGAATATGAGGATTTTCTATAATTGGAGTGATTTTGATACTAAGGAAATCAGACTCAGATTTATCGAGAAATGTAAGCATGTTGGGGACATCATTATAAATATCAGGTCGCTTATCAAGTACAATATCTGGATATTCGTCCAAAATATTGCAGTCATCGGGTATTCTTTTGATAAATCGTGGTGTCTTGACAAAAAGAACCTTTCCTTCAGCATTATTAATGACAGAAAGCTGCTGAATGGTTTTTTCTTTAATAATATCCGCATCGTACACATTATTTGGAAGGCCAGGGGTACGGAAACAAACAAACTTCGACATTTTTTAATATTTTCAAAGAAAACCGCCTATAAATTTTCAAACTTTGTAAAGCAAACAAAATTTTCAATTAATTATGTCACTTTTCAAATATTTTTATTGCTTTTTTTTTCATTCTCCCAATAAAAAGTGAACTAATAATGATAATTAAATCTTCATCAATTTTTACTCAAAAAATGCGAAATCTAATTATCCATCGTATTGGCAACTAAAAATAGAATTGAATCCAAGTAGCAGTTTAAATATGAAATCAATTAGAAAATCTCTGAATACTGACTGATTCTCTGATATTATTTTTAAATGTGTCTTCTCTGATCATCTGTTATGAACAAAATCGCAGTGTTCCTTTGATACAGCATATCCATTTGATGACGACTCGAAACGCTTCATTTTTGAGTTGTCATTATTTTTTTAATAAATACGACAACAATTTTGAGATTAACTATTTAATATCTACCTAAACAAATAGCAAGAAAGATTCTCTATTATAGATATGCCATCAATCGTTAAATAAATTTGATTCACCCAATATGAATTTAATTGTTTCAAATAACCGATCATTTTCTGGTTCAAGCTCATTTAGTGCATAGTAACCTTCGCAATTAATCATTGCCTGCTGGAATCGTTCATTTTTTGATAAAATATAAAATGTTTCTAATCCTAGACTCATATACTTTTCAGATGATTCAATAATACTCACCATACATTCTAAGACTTCTTCATTAATGTATTCCTCAGTTTCAACACTCCTTATCTTTAAAAGTTCACAAACGAATTTGAAAGCAGTGACTTTTAGAGACATGGATTCATTGATCATTATAGAAATAATGCCTTCAATTACATTAGATGCAATGAGATCATGAATGATTGAGCTTTCTTTTTTAATAAATTCGGTGAAAAACCTAATAATAGCGATCTTAGTAGATACCGATCCCATGTAAAGATGCTTGACAAATGATTCTACTCTGAATGAATCAATAAATAAAGAAAATAAATTAAATTTGAAAATTAATGTGGTTAAAATATTAAGAGTATATAGAACAGCTTCATTATCTTTGCTGTGAATCTTATGCTTAATGAATACAACAAAGAAATCGATATCAATTAATTGATTTGACTCAATTGATTCAATTATATTGAAACAAGCAAGACTAAGAAGAGAATCAAGTTCATACACTCTACTTTCGTCAAGTTCTTTAATGATATTGATCAGGGAAGCCTGTAAATTGCTAGGAAGAATTGAATAATATTTTGAAAAGTGACATAAAAATTGACATGAATTTTTTCTTATCATTCCATCTTTTGCAAAAAGTAATGAATCAATGCGATCAAAAAGGAGTTCAATTGAAGAAAGATCAAATTTTTGTATATTTTCTTCTGATTTTAACAGGATAAGAACGATATTCATGTAAGGAGATCTGAATTGTTCTGGAACATTCAGAATTGTGCTGTTAAATACATCTATTACGCCAAGTTCTAATAATTTTGGAATATATTCTTCTGAATTTGAGATTTTGTAGAGAAACAATATAATTTTTTCAAATATTTGATCGCTAATAGTTGGTGAAGAATCGTATTCATTTCTATTGAAATTGTTGTCTAAAATTTTTAATATTGTTTCCAAAAAGTTCGAATTTAGTACAAGATTTTGATATTCTGGTGAATCAATATGGAATTGTTGAATAACTGATATGACATAACTTAAGTTTTGGAAGGAGCAAATCTGGTCATGAACGTAATTATCATCAATCGTATTTATTTGAGTTTGAAGATCTTCATTTTCAATAATTTGTGGATTATTTCTTCTAGTGATACCACTTGCAATGTATGGATCCAGAATGTAGCTGAAATCTCTTAGATTTTGGCTGTAAATATCAAATTTGTAGTCGAAAGTCATGCAAAAAAAAATATATATAAAATGTAAACTTCTATAATTTGCAAAATTAAATTAGCGTATTTCTTCTTGTTTATTGACAAATCGAGAAAAACCTTAGTGACCTATCGGTTATCAAATTGAAATAACGTCAAAATTCTGAAATTTTGAGAGAAAGATAAAACAATAGAATTTCTTATTATCGTGATAATATGTTCTATAATATAGAATCAAACTAAAATAAACAGTCTTCCATATTTCTGCCAGAATTTAAAATGTAATTCATTCAATTTTAAAACGTATTTTTATATCATATTAATATTATTTATTAGCACAAAACTTTTTTTGGAAAAGAAATCTACATATGAAACAACTCTATCGTATTTTGATTTTAATTTTTCAGCTATTCATATATTTTGAACAACAAAATCATCATTATCATATTAATTAATCCTGCGTAAAAAGGAATCAAAGCTCCAAAAACATTGTTATTAGTCCTAAAAATAATGACAAATGTTTTTACAGCTTCCTTCATGACTTAAAGACAAGTTCAAATCAATGAAATCAATAAGAGCTTTTTTGAAGAAATAAAGATCAAGAAAGTCTTGATTAATATAATAGAAGTTATTGAAGACAAGCACCACTATGTCAAAATGGCCTTCAGAAGATGGATAAATGAACTGCTAAACATTTTGAATTTCACTCTTATAAGAATATCTGCTCTTACATGATGATTACACCAGATAAATATGTGACTAGAGTATTTCATTTATTATCAAATAATGCTTAACTTACTTCAATGGAGATCATCAATGCTATACTTCAAAAGGTGCAGGATATATCAAATATTATTCTTTGAATCAAAATCACTTATATTATCACTCAGCTTATGGATCTTCATTAATAAATGCTTGATAAAGTAATGCCTTTCCATTATGTTCTCGCCTTTGTTAAAGTCCTTTAATATGCTTAATTTTTCATCACTAATTTGATTCCAGAATTTTCTTCATTCATTTAGTAGATGCTACAAAAATTAATAATCATTCTGGATTTGAACAAAAGAAGAATGCTTTTGAGTACTACACGCGTGGACAGATATTATATTATTTAGTTTGAAGATAATCTAACTATCGTTATTGCCCAATATTACAGATGCTTACTTAATTTACAATTGTTTTTATATTTTTTCGTTCTATACATAAAATACACTAAATTGGAATATCAAAAGCGAAAACAAAATGATGTGACAATTTTTCAGGTTTTATTCTAAAATATTAACAAAAATGAATCTGATTTTAGCAGAATAATTCATTAAACTATGCTTAAACATATCTACAAACTCTTTATAATATCGTTGTGAATTAGGCGCTCTAATCCTTTCAGAACAATTTGGATGATAAACGAATTCCGATTTTTCCTCAAAAAAATTATGTCAACAATTGTAGATGTTTGTATCAACGAACAGAAGGTTACAACAACACTAGAACAAGTGGCAAGTGTTTCCAAAACAATTGCAGAAAAATACTCTAAAAGATCTAAATCTATTTCTCTTGAATCAAATTTAAATGATGAAATTAATTCACAATTTCTTGGATATCTTTCAGGATCGATGCCAGCATTCCAAGAGAAGACAGTTCTTGATGTTGTTTCCTTGTTTTTAAAGTACAATTGTGAAAAATTGTTACAAAGTGCGATTGAATTCATAAGAGACAACGTTTCAATTGATAAGATTTTAAATCAATACGTTGCACTAACTAATTCTAACCAGCCTAGACAGCTTTACGAACAAATTATTCTCGAACTTATTTTAACTCCTCAGACAATCTTATTTGAAGACTCATTTTTGAACCTTCCAACCAGATACATAGAAGATTTGTTTTCAATTCAAAGCGAAAATGCAGTCTCTCATTCTTTATTATTTGCTTTTATTCTTTTCCAAATACATCTTAAGAAACAAGAGTCAGAACCATTACTACGCTTCTTAAGCTACGATAAACTTACATTCCCACAGCTTTTGGACTTGAAAGAACAATTACTTGATGCAGAAATGGACTCTTGCGCATATTTAGTCATACAAATGTCTAAAATAAGAAACTCCCAGCGCAATCAAATCACTTTTACAAGTAGATTTGACTCTTTATTCCAAAATTCTTTGACATTTAACGTTAGATACAAAAAAGGCCAAGAATTCAATGGAATATTCAATATGCTCACTAAAAGCTTCAAAAGCAATATCGTAGAAAACGGTTTAATCACAATTTCAGCAAGTTCCAATGATCCAAGGAAAATTCTTGGAAATCCAACAAAGAAATACATCTGGATGTCAGGAAACGAGTCAAATCCTTTCTACGGAATCAGTTTGGACCACAAAATTACATTTAATAAGTATAAAATTACAGGAGTTGACGGATACATGCCAAATACGTACGCCATACAAATATCAGATGATGGACATAACTGGAAGGACATTTTCAATGTCAGAAAGGAGAGTTCCATCGTTCAATTGGCAAATGCAATGGGAGAAATGGCAGAAAACGTTAAACCAACGAAAGAGAAGCTGATTAAGAACATAGGACAAAAATTTTCATCAAAACATATCAGATTAATCAACTACGGAAAGAATGATTCCGGATCCAGCAAAATTTCATTGACATCTTTCGAATTATTCGAAGATAGTGAGCCAATACTTAGTAAACTTATTGAGAATAATCCAGAAAGCATCAGTGTCCTTTCTTCTTCGTATTGTTTCGCTTCAATTTTGAATCATTTGAAAACAGACTTCTGGGCATCATTAAATATCCAAAATAGTTATATACAACTCAGATTGAATGATTTTGCCGTTGCAATTACAGGCTATTCTCTTCAAACTTACGATTTAGACAAAGATTTGAATCATTTGAGAGAGTGGTCAATCCAAGGATCTCTTGATGGAGAGAAATGGGTAGAAATAGATCGAAGAGAACCATGTAATGACTTAAATGGTCCTTTGCTCTATAAATATTACCAATGCCAAGTTATTAGACCTTGTAGATACATTAAGATAGTTTCTGAAGGAGAGAATCACAATCAGAACTATATTCTAACTATTTCATCATTTGAAATCTTTGGTTTGCTTATTCCTGACATCAAATATTAAATATTATTTTTTTTGTTAAGTAAAAATGTATCATTGTTATTATTCCTTCAATTATGATCATTTTATCAGCTCTATTTTAAAAGAAAAAAGAAAATATAATTACAAACAATAATATTTACAAAACATATAATTGTATATTATGAAAACAATTTCATTTCGATGGGTATAATGGGATACAATAAAGTAATCAAATGTCAAGTTGAATATTGAAAATGAAAATTTAAATTGGGACAACTGTTGAAGAATCAGTAACATTTCTAGTTCGGTATGCTATAGGAAGCATGGAGTCTGGCAAACAGCTTGGAATAAATCGTTGTTTCGAAACTTTTTCTTGATTTGAAATTATTTCCTTAGTTTCAACAGAATTTTCGGTTTTATTATCACTAGATTTACTATTGCTATCTTTTGTAATATCTTGAGGTATTGCAAAGAATGAAATTTGATTCGGTAAATATTCCATTGGAGTTTTCATTGAAGAATCATTGCCCATAATAATTCCGTAAACTATTAAAAACACACCGGCGATCAAAAATCCTATAGCAAGAATTAAAGGAATCGGTGAATCAAGTAAATCTTCATCCATATAAAAATTAACTAAAGAAAAATCAAAAAATATAACATAATATGGAATGTTAATTAGAATGACTTCATTAAATTTCCACCAATCCGCTGGTTAATTTGAGATAACATTACATAAAGCTGAATGATTGTATGCATAAAAGCAGATATCAATTGGGTATTTCATCTTTCAATTTATTTTTGATTTTCATTTTTTTTCGCCAACCAAATAGCAAAAAATTACAATTTTTCGCGTGACTTTTTTCCTCAATTTTTGAAAAAGTCAGCGCGAAAAATTTGATTCTTTTGATCTTCAAAATTATTGGAATCGAATTTTACAAAAAATTTAGCAATTTATGGGCGTTTTCAGAAAAATGCCCATAAATTCACAATTCTGATTTCAAAGGTGAATCGCAAAAATTTTGGGGCGTACGATAAATTTATCGTCAAAAATAAAAATCTATACACATGAAATATAATCTAATTTTTTAATTTTTAACTCTCGAAAAAATAATCGTATGCTCCAAAATTTTCGATTAAAATTTGCATCAGAATTATTATTTAATTTTCATCCAAACTCAAAAAAGCCAGTTATTTGGTTATTATAATACATTAAGAATCGGAATTCATTATATTTGCTTTTCCGAACAAATGACGATAAAATTATCCAAAAACTTCAGAGAGTTTGGACGAACTCCAATAATCAATATACACATTTTGCCGAAGGTGGCTATGCTTGCCCGAAGGGCAAGCGTAACCACCTGAGGCCCGAAATTATATTATATCAAATTTGATATTTTGGCATAAAGGAATGTTATAAGTTTATGTCTTCACACTAGAGATCATCAAACTTTATTCATCTCAAAAGAATTTCACTTGTGGAAAAGTCAATTTTTTCTTCGACAAAAACCTTCTTTGAGAAACTTTGAAAAGATGTTAAATGCTTTATTCACTGATTCAACATTAGAATTGTTTAGATGTATATTAACACTAATTTCACTAGAACATTCGTCTGTAATCAATAAGTCTCTTACTGATTCGCTAATTACAGCTGCGTGTGATTGTGTTGTGACAAATCGCTGATTGTTTATTATGAAGACAAAATCTGTTCTATATTTCAATAAAGAAGAGTTTTTACAATATTGAGATTTAATAATAAATATTCGTCACTTTTATAAATTTGCCAACAAATCACAAATTTGCTTTAAATATGCATGCTATGGAATGTTCATAAAGAAAGATACCAACAAAATTTGAAAAGCACAACAAACAATATTGAAAGCGATTGTTGACTTCCGAAAAATTTCTACCAAAAAATATTTTCATTTTTCAAATGCCCAAGTCGCCTCTTATATGCTTCTGCGAAGAAAGACGTCCAGGAGTTACAGCAGAAAATCCAGGATTAGCATTTGGTGATATTTCAAAAAAATTAATCGAAAAATGGAAGAATTTATCTGCTGAAGAAAAAGAAAAATATATTAAGATGGCAGAACAGGAGAACGAGGAAGATAAAAATAGAATCAATAATATCGAAGATTTGTATCAATATTTTGAATCCATTCCAAAAAAGAATATCAAAGATTTAAAAGTTTCTACAGAAAGTGTAATCCATCTCGTTAAACTCCGAAATATGGCAAATGAACTCTCAAAACACTTTTCCAAACTATCAACAGAACTAGATTCTACTCTAAGCAATATTGCTGATAAGCTTGTCGATAGAGAATAATTAATATCATTTTTCCTCAATTTCATATCAATTTTTTGCAAAAAGCATTTTTTTTCTATCCTCTCTTGACATTTAGCAATCTATTCACTTCACGAATAAATTTTATACCGAGGGAATTGTTCAATTCTTTGGTGGAAATATCCACTAATCATCGAAACGAAAAAAAATCTTCAGAATTAAAATAGTTCTAAATAAATGACCAAATCAGTGCTAATATCAAATAGATTAAGGTGCCCAGCGAAGATAGATGAACTACTCAAAATTAACCTTAATCGTGTTGCAATGTGTGGAATGGAATCATCCATATATTAACCTTAAAAGTGCTTTTGTGAGGTGACTTATCGTCTCCAATGTACCCTTAAGAGTTGTAAAAATCTTGTCAAATTTCTCATTCTTCATTTAACTCTAAAAAAGTTCAATGATTTAATAATAATATATAATATTATTTAGTTTATTTGCATCAGCCATCTCTAACGGAGTTTACCAGCCTTATTCTTAATTGTTGCATCAGCAGCTGATCTAAGCAAGTATCTAGACGTATGAGGTGCATCATATTGAACAGCGTAATGGAGAGGTGTATTTCCGTTATCATCTACAGCATTAATATCGGCTCCCCACTGTAAAAGCTTCTGGCAAATCTTCTGAGAGTCAAAACCAGCAGCCAAATGTAATGGAGTGATTCCCCCTCTGAAAACAGTTGAAACCATGTCCGGCCACTTTCTAAGAACATCTCCAAGTTTTCTAACATCGTTTTCTTTACAAGCTTCCTGCATTTTGTTATGGGATTCTTCACGCTCGCGAATGATATCTGTTACTTTACGACCATCTTTATCTTTAATACTTATATCTGCTTTGATATCTGCAAGGAACTCAATAACTTTCCTAGATTCCTTAGCAGCAGCAATATGGAAGGCTGTACGGCCAGTTCCATCTGTAATATTTGGATCGGCGCCGTTCTCGTGGAGGATTTTCATAATTTCGAGATCATCCTCGAGAGCAGCAGTAGTAAATGGCGTAATTCTCATGTTACCACGTTCGTTAACAATTGATTTCTTCTTTTCGATGAACTTTTTGACTTCATCAATGTTATGAAGCAAAATTGCATCGAAAATACTTGTAAATTTCGTTGGTAATGGCGTTGGCTTTGGTTTGTTGATTGGTTTGACAGGTACTGGATGCTCTGGAATGGCAAGAGGAACAGATATATCTTCTTCTTGTTCTTCTAAGCCTTCCATCATATCCTCTTGTGTCTCTTCCTTCCTCTTTTGTTGTTTTTGTTGCTTTGGTTGTTCTTCTGTCTTTGTTTGCTCTTTGGCTTTCTTTTGTTTTCTCAAATTTGCTGCAGCTTGCCTTACTTCTTGGACTTCCTTCTGCTTCTGGGCCTCCTTCTCTTGGTTGAGCTGTTGTACGTAGCTATCGACTTGTGCTTTGAGAGGAGCAACTTCTTTATTCAATCTCTGCTCTAATTCAGTCCTTTCTTGCATGTACTGATGCTGGAGACTCATGTATTTGTCGTAAAATTCGCGTTGCTGTGGGTTTTCGCTTAATTTAACAAGTAAATCGTCGTATCTTTTTTCTAAATCTTGAACTTTTTTAAGAAGTTCGTCTTCTTCTTGCTTGAATTGTGCTTTCTTCTCTTCAATCTGCTTATTACCGATAGCCTGAGCTTCGTTAATCCTTTCTGGACCTTTAGCAATTTCTTCTTGTGAAGTTTTGAGGCTATCACGTAGTTCTTGGATCGATTTGGTGAATTGAGCACGTGCAAGTTCTAACTGGGCGTCATTGTAACGACGAAGGAGTTCAATAGGAGAAGGAGGTTGCGTAGCAATGAAATCTGATTCAGGAATAGGTAATGGTTGTGCCAAATCTGGGCAAATTTCGATCTTAGATAAGGCATTAGAAAGCTGATCTGCAGTGCACGTTTTGATTGGATCGAATAATTTTGTTGCATCTTTATTAAGAGCGTTAGATAAGTTTGCTAATATGAAATTTAGATTCTTTTCAGTGAATATTTCACCTGAATTCTTAATGCAACGAGAAATTAGTTCGATTGGGAGTTTATAAAAAATTGGTTGTTCAAGAAAACAAAAAATCATATCACTAACAGTCTGTTCAAGCTTAGTGGTATCTTGTCCTGCTTTGATGGCTTCAGCAATCTGTGTTAAATGTGTTTGAACAGAACTCATAACAAAATAAAAAGTGTCAGAAATAAATAAAACATAAAAACAGTAAAACATTTTACAAAAAGATATAGTTATTCGATGAACCGGTAAGAATTAGGCTTTAGCGTAAGAAAAGTTTATGAAATCTCACCATTGCTCTTGATTTTTAAATTGAACATTTCAAATCTAATGATCAACCAAGTTTTACATGCATGTTTAATAAGGAATTTATAAAATAAAGAGAAAGTTACATGTCACTTAACTTGAAATTCTTTATTCTTCATTGAATAAATCAAATCAAGAAAGAATTCCAATCACTTGCATACGATTAAATCAAAACACAAAAAGTCATCATTATTTTATCAGTGATAATGACCCATATCAAATTTGAATATTGGCCAGATATATTTTTCGACAACAGACTTTTAGCATTATTGAAATTAGATCATAAGACAGGAAAGTTCTATCATTAGACCGAATTTATTCTAAAATACAAAGATAATCAAAGATTGAATAAAATTTTAAAGCCTTAATATGTTTTTATAGTATATTTATACTATCTATTCCATTAAAATACCTTAGACAGTGATTTGAACCAATGATTATAGATAGATATGAGTTTCATCACTGAGATTCTGAAACTTGTAATTTTTTTTTCAAATTTTTTTGTAATGAATGAATACCAAAATGAAGGAGACGATCGAACAGCTACTATTTCAGATGAAAATAATGAGCAAGGAGAGTTCATTCATTACATTGGTACATTAAAAAAAGCAGAACTTGAAGTATTAATTTCACAACTTTTTAATGTTACTACTGACATACAGATTTCACTTGAAGAAAGGATTGTAGCACTCAGAAAAATCGAGTTAATATCAAAATATACAAATCATTTTAATTTTAATTATTTTGATGTTTTATTACAATGCATATTGTCACCAGACTATGATATTTCACAAATAGCAGCCAATGTAATTATCATTACCATTACAAACAGTACTCATTTCGGTGAAGAAATGTTTTTAAATAGTGTAATTCACAAATTTATCGATCAATTCTCAAAAAGATTCGACGACATTCTTCTACAGATACTCAAATCATTGTGTAAAATACCAACACTGGCCGATAAATTTGCAATTTTAGGTTTAATCGGAGTAATTCAGAAATACTACTACGAATGTCTCCAAAACATTCATTCTTCTGACAAAAAAGTTTCATCAGAAGCTCTTACATCCATTCATGATATAATATCTATTTATCTTGAGCTAATTAAAAATATCCAAAAAGATATCGCAATTATTCCAGGAATGCTTCAAGATATATCGCACTTAATGAATATTCTCATTTACTACCAATTTCCTGATCTATTTTTGGATTCTCTCTGTTTTATTTCAGAATTAATGCCAATAGTTTCCCAATTCATTGATAATGATACAATTAATATGGTATCATTAGCCGTTGAGATAGTAGATCTTTTTGAAAAGGTAGATAGTGAAATGGCTACAATTTTTTGCAGATTTTATGAATCAATTTCAATTCTCAAATATCGTGATGAACTGGCGCAATCAGTCATATCCGATGTAATATTAGAGTTCTATAACACATGGAAATTAACACCAGAAAGCTTTTCTTGCCTTTCTAAATTTTTCACTTGTATTTTACCGGTAAAAGCAGATATAGCAGGAAGAATAGTTGATTCAGGACTAATATATAAGTTTGTACAATGCTATGACTCAGGAGAACCAAAAATTGTCTCTAGAATTACAGAATTTTTCGCAATGTGCTGTCATCCACCTTTTATTGAATCAGTTGCAGAAGTAGTGATCAATAATAAGATTATTGAAGAGATTGCATCCGTTTTAATCACTTTTCCAAAAGGAGATAAAAGAATTGGAAAAATTATGGACGGATTATGTAGTTTGCTAACATACTCGAAATCAATTGGGGCATTCGAAAAGGATGATCCTTTAATTTCTCAGTTTCTTCAACCAGATTTTCAGGATTTTATAGAAAGTAAGTCTGAACTGAAAGAAACTGATGAAATCTATTACGCTATTGCATTTCTTGAAAAGAATATTGATGAACTCGAAGAAATGTAATTGATATTTAAATTGTTAGAGTTAGATAAGATATTGCTCAGCTACACTGCTTATATAGATTATAAGAACATCAATTTTCATAATTTGGACTCAATTTTTGTTCCAATTTTGTCAAAATTTCCAAAATTATCATTTAACATTTAATACGTTGTTTGTTATATTAGATATAAAAAGCTTTTTTATTTTTAAAGTCAAATCTTTTATTTTTTTCTTGAAAAATGGAACGAGAATACTCAATGCGCTCTTTTTTAAGAAATTTCCATTTGGAAATCGACAATGATGAAGAAGTAGAGACTGATCAATCATTTAACGAAGAAAATTTTGTTGAAATTGTAAATTTGATTTATCATACTTCTTCATTTGACGGGAAATTCCAAATATTGCTTGAAAATATTGAATTTCTTAAGCAGAGACAACCAAATGAATTTCCTAATATTGATGGAATTGACGTGTTTGAAGATGTTAGATGCTTGGGATATCTTATTGTCAAAATTAGAAGATTTTTCAGTTCGGGTATAAAGTTTTTATACACCTTCTCCAAACTTCTATTCTATCTTCACTGGATATAAATACGAACAAGTAGAATGGAAAGAAAATATATATAGAAGCTTGGTTAGACCATGTCAAAGAAATTATATGCAATGGAAACGAAAAGGTTTATGAGTATATCTTATGTTGGTTTGCAAACATCTTAACAACATCCAAGTGCTAAAATGAAACTGCTCTCATATAATGGAAAACAAGGAACGGTAAGAACACATTCTTTACAGATATTTTGTGGCAAACTGTTAGAGGCTATTCGAATCCGAATATGACAAACTAGAAAACATCTGGGCAAGTTTAACTCCTCAATAGAGAATATGAAACTTATAGTTTGCAATGAACTTCAAAGTATAGATACAACAAAAGTTTTAAACTCAGATGCTTTGAAGAGCTTATAACAGACAAAGTTGGGTTGTTGAAAGAAAATATAAAGACCAAAAGTTTGTGAAAAGTTGTGCAAACTTCATTATGGTTTCAAACAATGCTGTTCCGATGAAGTTAGAAAGTTCTGACAGAAGATATGTAGTTGTCAGAACGTCAGATCTTCATATGCAAGATACAGAATATTTTGACGACTTAGCAGAAACTTTGACATCTGACTTTTACAACCACTTGTTCTCATATTTCATGACATTAGATATTTCAAAGTTCAATCCAAGACAAATTCCACATACCGAAGAGAGACAAACATTGTTAGAAGCAACAAGAGTGTATATGAACTGTTCATAGATGAAACTGACTTTGTGTCATTAGATGAAAGGTCATTGTACGATTCGTATAAACAATATTGTCAAGAATATGGTTATATGACAGCGTCTAAACGAACATTCTTGGCAAAAGTCAAAAGCTTTTAGAGTCAGAATGGTGTATATACAAAAGAAAATTTTTTGAGTAAATTTTAAAAAAAATATTTTTTTTATCCGATAGAAAAGATGACGAAAATTATTTCAGTAAACAAGTACATTGTCAGGACTTAAAGAAGAACTAGACCCATTCACATATTTTGAATGTTTACTTCTACCATTTTGAAAAGTCTTCATTCAGCAAAGTTTGGAACATCGAACCAGTTAAGTTTGCTATTGTGACTAAAAAACGGTGCGAAATTTGAAGACTTAGACATAGAAAGGTTTGTTAGCAGTCAAAGAAAGTTTTGACAGAAGGTTCTCAAACCTTAAAGAAGGCAAAGCATACAAACTTGTTATACCTTATGAACCAAAGAAGCAGACGACTATGAATATTATGAGTCTAAAGTTGTAGAAGTTCAAGGTAAATTGGGTAAAAAGATTTTAGAGTCTAAGCCAGTGTTTACTCCTAAAGAGGAAGAGAACATTGACATTGACCCAGAAAATTCTAAAAATAAAATTTTATTTTTTACATGTCAAATTTCTTTTTCTCTGGAACTGGTTCAGGTTCTTTCTCTTTCTTCTTCTCTCTTCTTCTACTTTCTTTTCTTTCTTTTCTCTCTCTTCTTCTTTTCTGGTGGAGTTATGTCAAATTTGGCGCAACATATTTATGTAAAAGTTCTTTGTCCTTTAATAGCTCATCTATTCTGTTTTCTATTTCATCTTCAAGAACAGCGCATGTGTCTTCTTTGCATTCTAAGAACTTTTGTTGGACTTCATCTTTCCAAGGGTCATCTCTGTCAACAAGTCTGTCATTGACAAATTTTAAGACTGCTCTGCTTAATGTTTATGGTTCTTGTCATATTCCCAGAAACAGAACTTTAGAACAAATTCACCTTTCTTGTTTACACTATGTAAGATTTTATGGTCGACAGATGTTTTGCTGTCGAAAAGTTTGTCTCGAATATAGATAGCGAAATCGCTAGACTATCTAAAAGATAAAAATTTTAATTTTTCAAAAAATATGTTAGAAAAAAAGTTTGCTGACATTGACAAGAAATTTGAGAATGTTTTAAAAAGAACAAGAGGAAGTTAGAAAATGCTCAGATAAAAACCATACAAACAAGTTCTTATTTGCTCAGAATGGGTATAACAGGTCTAATTGCAACACCTGGGTCGTAAGACTTTCACTTATCTTAAAATGCTGCACAAACAACAAGAACTAGATGAGAAGAACCCATTCTATGAGTTAGTTGTATTTGTAGTACTTTTCTGGTCAATTTGACCAAACCGTCAATTCGTTCAAAGATATTATAAAAGAAGTCTAAGTTAGTATGTATAAAGACTCTGAGTTGTTAGAATTGGATAAAGAAGTACCAAAGAAGAGTTTTGAAGTATAATGCTATAAATGAGTATATAAAATTCTAAGTTTAAAGACCCAAATGAGAAATGCAGAGAATATTAGAGAAGAAACACTCAGAAACAAACAGAAAGAGATAGAATACATTTCGAAGAAATTGCAATCTTACGATTGGAAGACATACCCTCATAGTGTCTTCTATCTTAGATGACTTTGCTTCTTCATCCTTTGCTTAAGAAATAGAGAACAAAGATATGTCTCGATTCTTAAGAAGCTCAGACACTTTAACATCTCAGTTGTCATTTGTGTACAGACAGCAAAGAGTTTAAGTAAGGATGTTAAAAGAATACTACTGAAATTATACTTTTCCCCGGATTGTCCGAAGGACGATTTCATGGAACTTATGAAAGAGTCCATGGCAGGTAAGTTTGACAGACATGAACTATGGGAGAAGTACAAAGTCATACAAGACCCTCATACTTCTTTCAGAATTCATATCTTACGCGAACAAAGTTCAAATATGTAAAAGTTCAAGCTTGAAAAATGTAAGTGTTTAGTCTTAGTAAAGGTCTGTTGGTGTCTGCGCTTCGGTTCTTCTGGCTTTGGAAGGCATTCAGGAAGAGGAACGTCAGTCATCCGTTTGTGTCCTGTCGGAGGAAAAACTTTTCTGTTGAAGGAAAAACTTTTCTGTTGGAAGGAAAACTTTTTCTGTCGGAAGGAAAACATTTTTCTGTCGGAGGAAAAACTTTTTTCTGAAGTTCGACCAAAAAATTTCTCAATTTTCGAAAAATTTTGAAATGGTTTACGGACGGACAACTGGAAAATTTTTCTTGTCGGTTGGAAAAATTTTTCTGTTGTCGGAAGGAAAAACTTTTCATGTCGGAAAATATTTTCTGTCGGATGGGAAGGACTCGGAATGCCAGGAAGGATTTGACAGGCCAATTTACTTATTGAGCTACTGAGGCCATCTGAAGTCAAGCTTGAAAAATAAAGGTTCATCTACCCTACTGTTTGAAGTTGTCAAAATACTCTGTTATTTTTTCTTTCAGTAGCGGTAAGTCTTTCTTTGAAGGTAAGTATTGTACAACCTTTCAATTATCATAGTGTGTTTGAGGTAACGTATCTTGAACTATTTGTTTTCACATCTTCTCTTGGGTCATTGGAAATCGGTAAGTTTTCGCGATAGAACCAATTTCTGTCAGATTTGTAAATCTTAGCAAGGTCGTAAAAGCTTTTGTTGTTTCTTCTGACTAAATGCAACATAACCATTCTCTGTCTTCTTCTTTTCCATCTCTTCAGGTATAAATCATATACTTATAGTTCTTTTCCTTTCCTTTTGGTACCGAACGTTGGTATTCTTTTCTGAATGTTTTTGTCTTTTGCTTCAAGTCTTTTCTCTTAGCTCTTCACGTTCTTGTCTATGAATTTCATTACATCATGAAAACTTATAACATGCGTAACGAGGGAAGCCCACATTGCAACAGCATTTACAAGAAGTTATGTACATAAATATCCTCTTTAAATTTATTGGCAAATTCTTACGATTTTCATACGGAAATTTCTCATTCCTCGGTTTTCGAGGGTAGCAAACATTATGAGGAAATTCTTACTAAAAGTTCTTTTGTCTGTTGGTTTTCAAACCAATGATTGCTTGCTTTGTAGAACGAAAAGAGCGTTCAAAATACTTTGCATTTGGTACATATCGTCTTTGACCGACGAATGAGGACGTAACTGTTTGTTATACTGTTATGTACTCGTTTCTTCAATCTTTATGGCTTCATGAACTATAACTGTTGTTGTGTTCTCTGTTGTGACATATCTGCTTACATACAAAATAAAAAAATAAATAAAAAAAAAAATAACTTTATTTTTTCTGTCTTTCACAAAAGACCAAAATAAAACGCTTTACATGTATTTTCAGCAACTTCGTCAAATAATTTTATAGCTTTATCTATCTCATCTACTTCAAACGTTTCTTTACCTTTATGGAGCACCATTACATTTTCTCAAACTTTTCAAGTAGTTCTGTTTCAGCAGCTTCCATATCGTTAACAAACACAACCTTGACTCTATTGACTATACTGTCATATCTTTTGAGTAATATTATATGTTCTTCCTATCTTATATCTCTTTGTATTGAAGTCCTTCGGTTCTTGAACGATGTAAAGTAAGCCTTCACTGCAACGTTCCGTTATCGAATGAACCATATGTTATGAAGTTATATCCAACAACTGGGTCAATCCATAACAAAAAAC